GTCAGTGCGTACACTCTTGTATAAAATATATGTAGTATTTATTTTTGTTGAAAAAATGCAAGTGAAGATGTTTTACCATAACATATATGTTGAAATTCTTTCGATGGACAATGTTTAGATCCATGTTAACGTTGCTTTTCATAAATTTGTGGTTTCAAAACAAAACAAAACCGGGTCATATACATAGACAAAACCGGGTGATTTTGTAGTAAACAACATTGACAAAACCGGCTCCTTCCATTTTGACATGACCCATTTCTTTTGTTCCATACACAGAAATACAAGTATTGAGGTGATCAAAGTGGCTAGTTTTGCAATCTCCATGTCAACATTTTTCTTTCCGTACCTCTTTCCGTACAATGTGAACAATTTAACAAGATATTAAACAAATTCGAAGCAAGTTTCACTTAATTCATCATTTTGACGTGTATTTTTACCCATTTCTCCGTTAATCTAGAACGGTTGTAGAAAATATTACATCTCACAATAGAAAATAGTTATATATGTATATATATTTTTCGATATCACAAAAATAACAAATAAATGAACAGAAACCTACCTTTTCTCTGTCTATTGATGTTCCGTCACCGTGCCGGATATTAGATACCATCGAGTCCAAACATTTTTTGCCGGGGTAGTTTAGACACAGTGAGCATGGCTGAATCAAAAATGGTCAAAATTCATATAACTCCTATATATGGTCGAAATCAAAATGATGGTATAATATGGTAAACAATCCTATTAGTGCTTTCTGTTAAATGGTCTGTGAAGTTGCCTTCACAATGTAAGTCACAATACTCCAAAAATAGTTAAAGAGTCATAACCCCCACAAAAATTACTATAATATGGTTAACTACACACGATGGCAAACATCCCTACAAAGTATTAGAGCTTTCTTGGGTGGCCATTAATATTCTGGAAACAAGATGTGCAAATGCTAATACAGCTGCATACAAAGTATCATTGACTTACTATTAGCATATCCTCCTTTTAGATAGATCTAATCACAAACTTGCATGTTAACTATGAAAAAGTTTGTCAATGGACAATAAAGGAGGGTGTATAGCCAAAAATAATCCATGTAAGGAGATGTGCTAATGTATATAACAGTAAACACGCTGAAATATCTTCCCTGCTTTACTAAAAGTCTTAGTCATATGAAACTAGTTTCTTGTAACTTTAATGTTATCGAAATTATTGAACAAATGCATGCATATATACTAAACTAAGTCCTGTATGCATGTTTTTCATATTTATTACGAACATATAACGTATTATCGACAAATAATATTTCATTCAGTGATTGTTGATCGCAAGCTAATTAACTTTCGAGTTTGTTGCCGATGTTTACCAGATCGTGACATTGATAAACAAGAGTGCACACACTGAAATGTCTCGCTTGTTTTACTGACCATTGATTTTATGTTGAAAGTCTTAAAGATAAAGGTTTTACTACAAGTATCACGTAAACTTAACATTCTTAAAGATCCATGACAATGAGGTCAAGGTTAGATAAAAACTGTCACACAGACATACACCTTACAATTATTCCATAAACCAAATATAGTTGATCTACTGCTTATAGGTATAAAACCACTAATTCATAGCCCCATTGCTTTCTATGTTAAATTCTGCAATTTCAAGCATAAATGGCTACTTTATCTTAATTTCAAATAAAGTGGCAGTTATTTCATGTCTAAACTGTACCTTATGCTGACTTGTGCTGAAAAAATCAACATACCTTTAATTGCATATTAGAGCGTACTGGTTCCCGGACGTTTGATAGTACAAAAACAGGAACTTCTGATCTGAACAACAGGCCAAATGAGCCCTCCTATTAAAATTTCCTATACTTCATTATTCAAATAAAACTTTCAACAAGGGTTCTACAGTGACCCCAAGTCCCCAACCTTTCATTTGATACTAAAACTACCCAAATATTTCCACTATTGACAAAGATGCAGCTATGCGTAGGAACTATTTTGCTTAAAATATGTACTACTTTCTTGTATGTTCTTTCCAACCGGGCCTGAATTAGTGGTTCTATACCTATAACAGCACCAACTTTGTTATATTGACTTCTGCTTGACTTTATTTCCTTCTATGATCTATTTTTAGCATAGAAAAACACAAAGCTTTTGTCAAAACACTATATCACTGAATTCAAGCTCAAATTGGACTGGTATTAACATATGCGTTAAACAAAGAAAACTACATATGGATACTAATAGTGACAGATATGACACTTTTTCAATTTTTACCAGTTCTGATTTGTTAATATCTACTCAAATAACAGTGTTCTTACCTATATGTCTTATTTTTATCAGAGATTCTTCCTTGAATATAAATACAGTGGTCCAAACATAAAATATAATTGATAATTTTGTCCCCCCTTTTTTCTACATGTTGGAAAAGGAGAGTGATTTGGTAAAAAAAACCCATACTTTTATGTATAAACATGGATCAACAAGAGCAATTTATGTATCTCCAAGCTAGACAACTTGCTAAAATGGTCATAAAATGCATTTCAAGTGAGATTTTGGAATTCCTATATAAGTATACACCAATAATCCTTGAAATAAATAATTCACCAAGAAACACAATAAAACATGAACACTCACTAGATAATATGACCAAAAACAATATTCATACTATAAACTAGTCATAATATACAAGTTTCATTGGTTTCAGTGTTAGATAATCCAAAAATTTAAATTTCAGGTAAAATCTTAACTGTGTGCATGCTAAATGACCAAAAAAGGCTAAAATACCTTCTTGTAGTAATTTGAGGGCTGTAATTTGACACTAAAATAATTGTTACATAAAAAAAATAATGTAACATGATTTCTGACAACAAATGTGACCAATTTTCACTGTAAAGGGTATGATTTCTAAAAATAGAATTTCACATGCCTGTCAGTAATAGGTATAAAACCACTAATTCATAGCCCCATTGCTTTCTATGTTAAATTCTGCAATTTCAAGCATAAATGGCTACTTTATCTTAATTTCAAAAAAAATGGCAGTTATTTCATGTCTAAACTGTACCTTATGCTGACTTGTGCTGAAAAAATCAACATACCTTTAATTGCATATTAGAGCGTACTGGTTCCCGGAAGTTTGATAGTACAAAAACAGGAACTTCTGATCTGAACAACAGGCCAAATGAGCCCTCCTATTAAAATTTCCTATACTTCTTTATTATTTAAATAAAACTTTCAACAAGGGTTCTACAGTGACCCCAAGTCCCCAACCTTTCATTTGATACTAAAACTACCCAAATATTTCCACTATTGACAAAGATGCAGCTATGCGTAGGAACTATTTTGCTTAAAATATGTACTACTTTCTTGTATGTTCTTTCCGACCGGGCCTGAATTAGTGGTTCTATACCTTTATAGTACTTGAAAAACAGACCAAAACACAAACACTTAACATTGACCAATGAACCATTAAAATGAGGTCAAGGTCAGATGATACCAGCTAGACAGACATGTCCACCTTACAATTATTCCAAACACCAAATATAGTTGACCTATTGCTTATGGAAAATGAAAAACAGACCAAAAACAAAAACTTAACATTGACCAATGAACCATGAAATTGAGGCCAATGTTAGAGGATACCTGCAAGAAAGACAAGTACACCTTACAATTATTCCATACACCAACTATATCTGACCTTAAAAATGCCATTTAAATGTTCTTTGTATCTGTCATATTTTCTTCAAAAGCAAAAAAATGCATTTTACCCCTATGTTTCATTTTAGCCATAGTGGCTATGTTTCTTGACGTACAAGGAAATAAAATACAAAATTTATACTAGATACTCTGAAACTCATTCAGCCCAAGTTTGGCTGAAATTGATTCAGCAGTTTCAAAGATTTTTTAAAGTAAGCAGACTAGATGAACAAATTGTGAAAAATTGTCTTTAAAGGGCAATAACTCCTTATGGGGCCAATTGACAATTTTGGTCATGTTGACTTATTTGTAGATCTTACTTTGCTGAACAATTTTGCTGTTTACAGTTTATCTCTATTATAATATTCAAGATAACCAAAAACTGCAAAATTTCCTTAAAATTACCAATTCAGGGGCAGCAACCCAACAACGGGTTGTTGGATGTGTCTGAAAATTTCATGGCAGATAGATCTTGACCTGATGAACATTTATACCCATGTCAGATTTGCTCTAAATGCTTTAGTTTCAGAGATATAAGCCAAAAACTGCATTTTACCCCCATGTTCTATTTTTAGCAATGGTGGCCATCTTGGTTGATGGGCAGGGAAAAGTTAACGGACGACGACAGACGCCAAGTGATGAGAAAAGCTCACTTGGCCCTTTTGGGCCAGGTGAGCTAAAAAGGTAGGCGATCTTAACATGAACAAAACAATAAATATGTTTCTAGTTTTTTTATCTGCTGATATGAATGAAATGTACAAAATGATAAACAAGATCGAAAGAAAGACTAGATGAAAGGACATTCATACAAAAATGAGAATAAAATTTCATACTTCATATACATTTACAGAAAGTTGCCAGAACTCCTTTCAAAATAATTAATAGCACTATTAACTAGCATCTTCACATGAATGACTTAATTTTGATATAGGTACAGTTGAACAGCAAACTCAAAAGGCTGCTGTGTATCCATGTATATTGTATTGACATTACATATATTCATTGGTTTTGTGAGTGACTCATACTGTACCCACAACTCAAAACTGAGCATTAGAGACAATGTTACAGTAAAATTGAGATCATTAAACTTTTGAGAGCTATTCCAGAAATATTTTTTAAATGATGTGTTGGAATGCACTAAAAATGAAAAATACATGAACAGATTACTTCCTTGAAGCACTGTTCTTGGAATGAAAACATTCTTCAAACCCCACTCTGTTTGTCCTCATTTTAATTTTGGAATAGCCCCAAGCCCATGAATAATATGCTTACAAATAAATTTTTGAGTTTATAAACATAGCATGACAATATGAGCATTTATATGGTATTGCACATTTATTCTGTTATAGACTAGGATTGCAATGATGTATAGAACCACCATACTCTCCTAAGATGGTTTGAAATTTGTCAAATAGGTGTAAATCAAGGAGATTCTATATTTACATCTTAGTTAGAAAAATCGAAGTGTTCCAACTTATTCTATCTAAAGGATACTGAACTATTTGTAAAGCATTGGTTAAAATGAAGAAATCCATATATGTGTCATTGCAACCCTAATGTCCATTTATTTTTCTCAGTTGACAAAAATATTTCCCAATACTTTCTATATTAAACACCTCTTTGCATCAGAGTGAATTAATTTTTGATACATCACATTGTATTAAAAATAATATAAATCAACATTTGCAATATTTTGCCTCTTTTTAGACAAGAAATAATATATTAACTTTTTCAAAATCATAAATTCTTCCAGATTAAAAATATTAATACAATTGAGCACTTTACAATTAGACATAACATTCAAAACAGTGATAGCACTTTTTGTTTTCTATTATAATTCCACTGCAGTATTATGCTTCTCTTGTTCTTTTTAAAATGTTTCTCAGCATACAACCTCACCAAGACATCATCATCATCATTTAATTGATATCACAGTCTACTTTTACAATGTCAGAGACCCTGAGATCAGAAAGAGAAACCTTGTTGTGGAATGGTTGCTGCTGCATTGAATTGATAGGCATTACCATCTGTAGATGTTGGGGCTAAACTCTCATCCTCTTCCTGAAATAAGTCAAAATATTACCAGTTAACATCTAGACAGTGGAAAAGGTTAATAAAAGACCAAATCTTTATTTTCAAACTTCCAACAATTAAATAATGTGTTTCTTGAGAAAAAAAATCTGGACTTTGAACATGAAAAATATTTTTTGCAATGTGGAATAACATGTTTGTAGGTGAAATTAAAATAACATTTAAAAAAAAATAGTCTATTCATATACCATAAGTTATCTGTACATGCAAATGCATTGAGCCTATAAACTTTTGATTATAACATTCACTGAACAACTAAAGTCTAGTATGTGACATTAATGTGTATCAGTAAATTTTTAAATCTTCAGCTTTATAATTATTAATGTTGATTTTCCCAAAATATTTCATTTGGAATAGAAAAATATCCATGCATTAAAAAACAAAATTGATGGAAATAGTTAAACAGCGTACTAGAGATGTATCATTTTACAAATTAATGAATAATGGGTTTTCAGAAGGTATAAATCTTGATACATTGTCAAAAGAAAAAGTCCAAGGCTTACAAAATAAGGGAGTTAAAAATATGAGAAGGTCACATCCTCATTAAGAATGGATTGTCCCGATATAAATATTTCACTTTTATTTTTCAAGTTAATCAATTGATTTGAGGATTTCTTGTTATTTGCCAGCTTTTGAAGTATGATTATAAATGAAGCATTCAACTTGAGCATTAATTTTTACATATAGATATATATTTTATATCAAATACAATTTCAACTACTAACCTCTCCACCAAACCATTTCTCTATCAATTCTAAAGCTGCCTTGTACACATGTTCATTCTCATGATTCTGTAAATCTTCTATTTTATCTAGACCACCACTTTCCTCAACCATTACACATACAATCTCTTGCTGGCCTATCTTTTCTGCTGCCTATTCAATAATTGATAAACATTCATAAACTTAATTTCATGAGAAAAATTTAGCCTGAAATTCAACCCCAAATCTACCACCGGATATAAGTTGGAAAACTGTTCATAACAATTTAACTATAATTAACTATTGAATCAACTTGAGGAAAAAATAAAATGTTTAGGGCAATCCGAAACATAACACAAAAGGCCATAAACTGTATTATCAAGTTTGTATGGACCCTTTTTGGCTTTGGTCCATACTTCTTTTGGATAACTAATCAATATCTACAACTATAAAGGATAACTAATCAATATCTACAACTATAAAGGAAAAACAAGAAAAAAACTCAGACAACTAAATTAAAGAATAAGAAATGTTCATATATTAAACACACCAGATGTCCACGTTTGGTAATACTGTCATTTTTCCAATCATTCATTAATATAAATACTTTCTATCGTACATACTGTTATAATATTATTAACAGCATCCAGAATAACTAGTGAGACTTTAGCTTCCTTGACTGTCAGTAAATCACATAGTGGTTTGATAGCTCCCAACTGTACTAGATAGGCTATCTGTTCTACAGTTCCTCCTGATGTCAGGTTTGTAATTGCCCAGGCTGCTTCCTTCTGACTCTTATAATCACCCTGAAAGAAAATTGGCATATAACATGTATAACTTGAAGTAAATAGCTAATGACTCTCCTAAGTTGCTACTTGAAGACTTTACTCAGCTCTCACTTGGCAACTTCATCACACGATACCAAAATACAACACAATTTATAGTTAAAACTGTGAATTCATTATTGTTCCTTGGATACACATTTTAATATATATATACTGATGAAACAGACAATGCTATACATTTTTTTTCCATAAGGCATCTGTATACCAGATATGGTTTATCTAGCTATACGACCAGCAAAATGGAAGTTTATACAAAAAGCTGTCTCATTGGTAGCATGTGAGAAGAAAACTAATATAATAGCAAAACAATAATTGATTGCAACATTTGTCTTGTTTTCAAAACAATGTGGATTTTTGTTGCATCTAAATTTTAAACATATATTGTCCTATCCTTCAATTCAAGGTTCGTGTGCCCTTTCTGACAGAAATACTTAACATTTTCTTGCAAAAGAATCAAATATCTATGTTAAAACAGTTAGTTTTCAAACTGTATGTTAATGCACATCAACATAACAAACCTTGATCAGTATTTCCAGTATAGGTTGTAACAACTGTTTATCTACAACTTGTTGTATTTGTGCAGTATTTCCAGCAGTTATATTTGATATCGTCCATGCAGCCTCTTTTTGTATATTGATTTTGGGATGTTTGAGCAAGTCGTGGAAAGGGTCAAGACAGTTATGATCCAGAACAAGTTGTGTTTGATGATCATCACCAGTAACAATGTTTCCGATAGCACGTAATGCTGGAGTTATCACAGGGACTTCATTACTACCCAGTAATTCAACAAGTCGCGGCACCACACCTACAAACATAAAAAAAATATATACTTTTTTTGTAAAATAAACTGTTATCATAGAGATGTGTCTCGCTTTTTTGTAATTTTGATTATGCAAATGTTGAAATTAAAATGGCAATACTTAACAAGAAGTTAGGCTAATATTCAAAGTCAATGAACCATGACTGAGGTACATGGCTAAACCATCTCCATGTAAATGAGATGCGCCAATGCTAATACAACTGCATACCAAATATCATTGACTTATTATAAGTTGTTCCCTTTAAATAAACCTAAACACAAACATTGACTTGTAAAGTATATAAAAGTTTCAAAGTCAATGAACCATGAAGAGGGGGTGGAGCTATATAATCTCCATGGAAACGATACTTACAAATGCCAATTAATTTGCATACCAAATATCATTGACTTAACATAAGCAGTTCATCTTAAACTGATCTTATCACAAACTTATACATGTAAACTAAGCAAAAGTTTCAAAGTCAATAGGCCATGACTGAGGGAATGGGGCCAAATATTCTTCATTGAAATGAGATGTGCTAATGCTTATACAACTGAATACCAATTAACATTGGCCTACCACTAATGGTTCCCCTTGAACTGACCTAATCACAAACTAATACATGTTAACTACGCAAAATTTTCAAAGTCAATAGACCATGACTAAGGGGGCTGAGCCAAATAATCTCCATGGAAATGAGATATGGGTAAAGCCAAAAAGGTGCTCCAAATTGGTCAAATAACCATCTGAAGCTTAAATCCCAATTTTAAAATATTTAATATATGTTATTTGATTACAACTTGTTATTGAGCATCAGTGACATGATGAAGTAGAAGATTTGATAAATATCAAATATCCGCTAATTCAATGTGTCTTGTTATTGAAGTTTGTCAAACGTAGATCTGTACGTTCCTGTGTCCCAAGCGTGACATGGAAACCCCCTTCTAACAAAAAATATACCTGGTTGTTTTTATGGGCAAAAGAAAAACGGAAAGTAAGTTAAATCGTCAGAAAAGTGATGTTGCACTATAAATCCGTCAAAGTTTTGCGTGAAATGCAGTAAAATTAATCAAAGAAACGATTATTTCGACAGGGTTAGTAATGTTATATTGACAATAGACTACTATGGTAAAAATAACGCACGGGGTTTTCCGCGATATCGTCATCTGCATAACATTTGATTGGTTCCTGGCATATTCATGCGCCGTCGTATCTCGGCTGTTTCAAATAGTTCTAATTTTGGTTTCGTATTCCGTTTTATGAGAAGCATAGAATGGCAAGTTTGTAATGTCAAAATAACGTATAACGTACGTAAATGTTTATTCCTTATTATTAACGGAAAGAGTTTATCCAGGGAGAAAAAAATACTTTGTTTCATTTCAAAATTGCTATATATACGAAACTAAATGTAAGCATCACTATCATTCATGGATGAAAATGGAAGAAGAACTCGATGGTAAGTTTTTAGCAAAATGTCAAACTAATAACGACCAGGGCGTCAAACAAAGTATAACGACCAAACCATTCTGTCAAATTGACACTGTTTTATATAATTTTTGCCAAAATAATATGCTTAGAATGATAAGAACTAACGAATATAACGCATTCAAGAACCCAAGTCAAACCATTCGTTCACTTTTTACGGTAACATCGATATGACCGTTACTTGACCAATTTTGTCAACCCAGTCAATATAACACCTAGGATGTAGATGATCTTTGTAGAGATATACTGCACCATTCTTTTCATTTAACTTCTATTTCAACTTACAGATAATAAAGGGGGAAAGTTAATATACATTTAAAAAGGGTGAAGTAATTTTCAGTGCTTTTTCACAGGGTGTTAGTTGACAATTTTATGCATAGTCAATATAACCAGGGTCATTAAGAGAGTTAGTTGACACCTTAATGTAAGGGTCAATATAACTCCTACTCCCTCAGTAGTCCTAAAGCTACTATTACTACTGAAATATGTTGACTTTGGCTTTTAGCCTACAAATCTCTTGTACAATAAAAAAATAAAGCCTTTTAATGAAATTGTAAGCATATTTCCTGCTTCTTTGAAATAGAGCATAAGTTGACAACTAAAGGATTCAAGTCAATATAACCATGGTCCAAAAGAGAGTTAGTTGACACATTAATTTTATAGATGTAAATACAGCCTTTTATCAAAAGAACATCAACAATAAACAAGAAAACAGAAAATTGTCACAAGACTATAACATGCAAGTTTCTGTCTTGAGACGGTGCAACAAGTTTGTTTTTAAGCACTCAACCTCCCCATACCCTTGAATTTGACAATAAAAACATGAATGTAGACACAATGCAAATCAATGTGAAGTGGTACTTATTTCCAATGCTGTTTTCAACATGGATAACATACAACATCATAAACATAAGAAGATGTGGTATTATTGCCAAAGAAACAACTCTCCACCTAAGACCTAAAGAAGTAGAAAAAAACAATAATAGCCTATAAGGTCACGTTATGGCCTTCAACATGGAGCCTTGACTCACATTTTCATTCATTTCAATTTAAAATCATGTATAAAACTATTTTAACTTTATTTATTTGCTTTTCAGATCTTTGAGATAAATCAACTGAGTATGAACAGTGGAATAGACAGCAGAATGAACTTTAAAATGTTTTTAATTTGTTTAAATAAATGATTTATGGTTTGATTCTTGAATAGTGGTTTAATTATTAGTATTGTCATACATTAATCATGTTAATGTGTTTTATACTTTACTTTCAAAAGTGTTGATTTAATAAGCTCTTGAAAAAAAATTGTTGAAAACAGTTGATCAATAAAGTCACCATCTGACATAGCCAAGAGTATCATAACTGTACATATTAAATGAGCAACCTTTGACCAAAGTACAAAGTCAGTTTAAGTGAGCCTAATTAACAATACTCCTAAATACCAACAGTAAACAATATGTTCCCCTAAATACTGTGAGTAATTCATTAAGTGTCTGTTTACCATCAGGCTAAGCTAACTCTTGCAGTGCACCGGATAGTTTTATTGGGTTAAAAGTATGTCGGTTAAAAGCTCATTAGAGCTTATGTTGTCTCTGTTTGTATACCTTGCCGACTCTAAAATAAAGCTTATTTATTGGGTTTGAGTTGTTATTTAAGGTTTGTTCTTTTCTTGTTATTTATCTTGATTTCTCCTCTCCCTTTTGGATTTGTGAATTAGTGCACCTTTATTTATCTTGTATCTATAGTTGTCACTTTGATCTGATAGATCTCAGATAGTTTTGGTTATGAGCTTGTGACTTCATTATTAGCTGAACAATAATGAACATGAACCCCTGCATGCATTCAAGAATTAAGTTTATATCAAAATAAACATAATGGATCAAACTCTTTGTGTTCAGATGTTACACCAGATTTCCTGTTTTATTTCAGTAAGTTACTTGACATTGTGTCAATATAACAACCAAAAGACGGTAGTGTTGTGAGCAATATAAGCATTCAATCATAATTTGGTAAAATGAAAAATAACCATCAGTTACCTAGACAACAGTAGAAAAAAAATCTTTAATAAAAATGATTTTGAAAAAGGTTAAATTTAAACACTATTCGTCAATATAACCTACATGTAAGATATGGTATACAAGATTTATAGTCATCTTCTTCATTTAGAAGATTAAGCTGTATTGGATAAGTTTTCCCCTACTTAAAAAATCAGCTAGTGTTGCCCCCCTGTTTTTTGAGTGGCCTGTTTTAAAATTAAGGCAGAAAAACTATCAAAAAGGGTTATTGTCAAAATAACATACATTGAATTTGGATTTAATTATGTCAACGAAGATCTGGGTTTACAACAACTACATAAAATATTTCATTTGAAATATAATAATTATGTTTACAAATATAATTGCTGTTCAAAAAACGTTTTACACAAGTTACTAGAAGAAAACTTTATTTTGGACATCTATAACATACTGATCTTGCTCAGAGCACTGACATTTCAGAACATCAGGGATATCTCTGTGAATTGGTCTATGATATAATGATGTTGAAAGATATTATGTGCAGCTAAGTATTGATACATTTCATTAATCCCATAAGAAACTATTTAAAACAAAAGATTGCACTATTGTCAATATAACTTACACAAAATATACAAGGAAGGTCAATTTTACAAAAACATAGCAAGACCATGGATTTCAAATAAAAAGAGGTAGTAAGATACAGATGGTTGCTAACAAAATAATGTGAATTGATAGAGATATCAAAAACTTCAATTTTATATCCTAATGTCACACTTTCCAGACCACCTTTATGGCTTTACCCATATGCCAATGCTTATACAACTGCATACCAAATATCATTGACCTACCACTAATGGTTCCTCATAAACTGACCTAATCACAAACTAATACATGTAAAATAAGCAAAAGTTTCAAAGTCAATAGACCATGACTGAGGGGGCAGGGCCAAATAATCTCCATGGAAATGAGATGTGCCAATGCTAATACAACTGTATACCAAATATCATTGACCTACCACTAATGGTTCCCCATAAACTGACCTAATCACAAACTAATACATGTAAAATAAGCAAAAGTTTCAAAGTCAATAGACCATGACTGAGGGGGCAGGGCCAAATAATCTCCATGGAAATGAGATGTGCCAATGCTAATACAACTGTATACCAAATATCATTGACCTACCACTAATGGTTCCCCATAAACTGACCTAATCACAAACTAATACATGTAAAATAAGCAAAAGTTTCAAAGTCAATAGACCATGACTGAGGGGGGCAGGGCCAAATAATCTCCATGGAAATGAGATGTGCCAATGCTAATACAACTGTATACCAAATATGATTGACCTACAATTTGTGGTTCACCACAAACTAGACCTAATTACAAACTAATTCATTGTTGACGCTGCCGCCAGAAACAGCATACCTATGTCTTGCTTTTTGACTCCGTCAAGCGAGACAATTATGCCAAGATTATAGATCAGCTAAATTTTACTATTCTTTGCCTTATGTGAAAAAGTTGAAATCTACACATGCTTTTAAAATCGGGAACTATAAAATTTATGCCAGGATTCATAAATTATTGGGTAAAGTTTTGGTTGGTTGGTTAGACATACATGTGTTTAACATTACTGTCATGACTATATTTCACCTTTATTACATTTAACTTTAATCTGCTTTGGTCATTCTGTAGAGCATGTTCCTAAATTGATCTTAGTTTAGAGGAAAAGGGGTACACAACTAAATAATAGGTGGTGGTAATTTCATACTTTTTTTTGTAAGAATTGCAAGTAAAATGTTGGTAGTAGCCATTCCAAAATATTTTGAAATCAAATCTTACAGAATGACAAAAAAAAAAACAAAAAATATCTTGTTGCAAAGGACTATTTATATAGGTTTCGACCTGTAAATGAATAGGCGTACAAAACATTTCCCAATCAGCTACTATTGGCTATTTTCAAATCTTTCTTTTTAGAATTAATACAAATACAGCATTCAATGTGTAATCATTTCAATTTGACAATCTATTTATAAAATAACACATAATTCAGGATATTGTATATTGCAAGGTGGTGGGAATAAAACAGCATGAAACTTGAAATTTTTTGGTTCTTTCTTATTTCTAAAAAATGCTAACTTCAGGAAAATACATCATAGCAAAGGCTTCAATATTTTTTTTTTCATGAACATAGCTATGCTGCACTTACCACTATCTACAACTTCCTGTATTTTATCATTAGTACCATCAGTGAGATAGGACAAAGCCCAGCATGTGTCTGTTAATACTTCTCTATCTGTATGATGTAGTAGTCTGGCTAATGTTGGTAAAAACTGACGAACTATCTTAAACTTTGGTGGGGGATTCTTGTTTCTACAAAGATTGGACAAAGTCCATGTGACATTCCTCAAAAATGCAGGCTGAAAATGAGAAAAAGACAGTTTTAATTAACAGATTCATTGTTCAAAGTTAGTAAATTGCATTAGAATATAGTGTGTTCAATCATAAGTTTGATAATCAGATATGCAAAACAATGAGATTTCAGAGACTAATTTGTCTTTCTTTTTCAGGTCCAGAGCACGAAATATTCATAATTGTCTCAAATAACACATGGCAGTTAAACTTACTGGAAGTGTTTCTTAAATTGTATTGTTACCAGGTAAGGGGAGGTATGAGCACATGTTTAACCCTGCTACACACTGTGTGTCCAAATTCAGGAGCCGGTTATTCAGTGGTTACCGTTGGATCATGTCGGTAATTTTTTTATAAATTATCTTTATAAATTAGACCAGTTTTCTCATTGAATTTTTCACATTTTTCATGTCGGGCCTTTTATAGCTGACTTTATATTATGGGTTTTTCTCATTATTGAAGGCCTTAGAGTGACCTGTAGTTGCTTATATCCATTTCATTTAAACATGGATAGATGTCTCATTGGCAATAAGCTCGCATTTCTTTTTTATATGAAGTTAGATGCTCAACTTGTAGAACCTGAGTTTGATCTGCGACAAAAGTACTTACTGGTGTATCCGTTTTTATTAATCTTAACAGTGGTTCAACAATTCCCATCTCAGTAACATAATCCCTAAGCTCTGGTCCATCACCTAGAATCAAATATTTCAAGATGTTACACATCAGTTATTGATTTATAGTAAAGAGGATTACATAGATCACAACCTAACATTTTTAAACGATATGTAACAATTATGTAAAGTTTGGTTTAAATTGATTCAGTAGTTCCTAATCAAATCTTTGGAAAAGTTTCAGACAGACTTCAAACCAGATGCCAATATCTCATATAGTCCTAAAGGATCAAATGAGCTTATAAATTGTAAAGTGAGATGCATGTAGAATTAAATTTCCAACCACAAATTTAAAATTTCAAAACATGAAATATTAAATTTTACATTTCACATTTACATCAATTATCATGATTATAGGTCTTGCCTGCTTTCTAGCAGAGTCAAACTTTGGTAATCTACAATTACAAAGTTTGCTTGCTCCTTCCTTGTCCCTATATTGGTCCATATACGATAACAAAAACAGCTATCAAAGTGGAAATAAACTTATGAAAGGACAAAATTGAGACTAAATATCTGAAGAATAATTTATATGACTCGTGTTACTGTAAATTCAGAAATTAATCTGTGCATTTATTATTGCGTTTTTTAAAGAATGGACGAAAATGCATATATGCAAGTTTAATTATTGCGATTTCAGGAAAATCTGCATACAGATATATATATCAGATATCAGAATGCGAGTTTTTAGTGGGATACCCAACCAGTCGCATTATTCGCATTAATAAAAACATCGCAATAATTTCTGAATTTACAGTAACTTTTTTTTATTGTCATCCTGAGACAAACACATTTCAAGATTACCTGCAATGTTACCAAGAGCCCAAACAGCTTGTTCACAAACATTATGATGAGAAGATTCTAAAAGTTTTATAAATGGAGGGACAGCTCCTGCCTTTACTACAACTTTAGTTTGATCACTGGTTCCCGAGGCAATGTTGGTTAAAGCCCAGGCAGCCTCAAACTGCAAATCTGGCCTGAAATTTTATAAAGTTCAATTATTAGCATATAGAAAAACAATTTCAATCTATTTTAAATTCAAAAACATTTGCCTTTTTCATTTACAAAAGCATTGCTTCATTGTAAACAGAACTTAACAAAAGTCATCTGCAAGTAAATTCTCCAGATTTAAGATGAACTCCTGATGTTAACTGTCAAATTTGTCATTGCCAGCCATTTTTAAATGTAATAAACTACTTTCAATTACTTGTTAGTAAAAATATTAAAAATAAAATAATGTGTCTATTGGACACAGATGCCCCTGCTGGTAAATATGCAAGAGCCTATTTACCATGTGTGTTTACTAATTCAAACTTTTAGGCATGGAAATGGTCAGTACATACAACAGAGTGCAGAAGGAATTTCTCTGAATCATGACGCCATCTACATTCGAACTTGATCTGTGCTTGGTGGTAATAAGCATCATGCAGTAGACGGTATGGGGGAGATTTGAGAAAAATAAATCAGAACTTCAAAGAACTATTTGGGACAATCAGTTACAGTATTCACTCCCCTTTAACAGTTGGTGATATTTATCTGTTTTTCTAGGAGTCATTCCTACGTAAGTACTTGTTGCACATGTTCATTAGTTACTTTTATTTCAATTTGTTTGCTTTTGTCCACATGCTCAATTTTCACAAGTTGTCTTTGATAACAACTTCCAAACAGTGTCTATTTTTATCGCTTATAATGTATCAATATCTCACGAGTTGATGGATTTAAACAAGGCAATGTGTATACACCAGTGTTCTCCCCAGGATTTTTGGATAGCACCAGGGTAACCCGTGTGAACAGCTTGGTGAAATGATTCTTACAATCAGTTGTGTCGTCGCTATATTTCTAGTTACTGCAGTTTTTATGTCTCTTGTTTTGTTTTAACACTGTGGTACTGTGTTATGTCAGAATATTATTGGTTAAAAAGATCAATAAACAGTTTGTATTCTTTTTAATATTTTTTAAAAATAAATAAAACATGGTTCATTACATAATATTCATCTAAATTTAAAGTAATTAAATCTTTTATCCATGATCAATAAAAATATAATATCTTTCAAACAGGAACATATATATTGTTAGATTTACTGTTCCCAGATTCAAAAGAGAACAAAAATGTTCAATTTAAAAATACTTTCTAGTTTCTAGAAAGAAAGTTGTTGTATGTGAAAGGATTCCTGTCATAAGGAGATGTAAAATTAACAAGAACAAAATTGTGTTATAATTTGAACCAGTTTCTATCTTAAATTTTAATATAAAAAAGAAATTTTTCATAAATTTTAAAACATTTTGCCATAGATTTCATGTACATGTAAATATTAACCTTTCTTGTCTTTGGTGATAATCAAACATAGATACAGGCTTAATACTGCACTGAAATCTAAATCTTTATTTGTCATGATCCATTTAAAAAGAATTCCTAAATCTATAAATTTATCTTAGGTCTATAGATCTATAAGTAACATATTCAATGTCAACAACAAAGTCTCCCTAGTTTCCCGCCTAAATGACAGGAAGTAGATATAAATAGATTTAACATGTGCTTATGGATTAAAATTGCAAGATCACTTCTGTTATTCATTAATGATCATATGGATATAGATATCCAGTTTGAAGGTACAGTTCATGCATTTTATTTATAAAATAGAATAGATTGCAGTTAATTGTAAATAATCTTGAATATTCTACATGAACTAACTGGGTCATGTGATCCTTCCCCTTTGAATTACTTGTTGACAGTTTGAAACCGGAATATCAGACGACAACTATGTCATAATTAAAGATAATTTTGGCCATGGTTTAATCAGAGACATATAAAACTATAATATAAGTATTGAGCTAACTTTTTAATGTACAAAATATGTACCGTCGTGTGTACAACTATCGGGTCAACACCGTTTGTGTACAAAGAATTTGCCGACTTGTCAGGTGGTGAGTGAAGCATTAAAATAGTTATCTATGATCATAAAGTTATGATCTCTAAATTAAAACACAAAAGAATTATGTAAAAGTGTTAATAACATCGATTAAATCCAATCAACAAAGGTTAACCTCATAAAGGTAAATCGATCACGTGGTGTAAACAATCCGTGTTGAACTGGTTTGAACTGGTCAAATTTCACCTGGAATTTTATACCGCACGGGAAAGATTAAACAAGTCGTTTAACACTTTACGATTTTTTAACTGAAAATTTTAGCACCACGGAGAAAAATTATACATTGCGGTAAGAACGATACCACTGCGGTAAAAAATTATACATCGCGGGCCTGTGGTCCTTTAATGGCCTGGGGAGAACACTGTACACAATGGCCGAACGCTGAATCCAGTCTGCAACGTTAAGCGGAAGCCTGAAGCCCCGGTCTAGTTAAAATTACCTCCGACTAGTGAACATGTACTACCGATAGGCCAACCGGTCTAGTGCATATCCATGTGCACTCTTTTACATTAATTTCGTAACTGTCCACTTGACATCTTGTGTATTTTTATAGACCATTGTTATTAGGACGACTTCGATGACTAGCTATTGTTACCATTATTTTTATGAAGAAGTGGTATCAGTTAATCAGCTGTTTATAAACATGGCTTCAATGTTGAGGTGGTTGGATAGTGCAAGATCAGGAAAGGCACCAAAAAGGCGGTTTCGCCCGTCCAACCAAGTTACAGAGGCAAAAAAGAAGTGTGAAGACAAACGAGTCTGTGCTTTCAAGAGCCATTGGACACAAAGTTGTCCCTTTCTTCAGTATGACAAAGAGAGTGATATGTTCTGCAATTACTGCAAGGAGCAGGGAAAAGGTGGCAAGTTTTTGTCTGGTTGTAAAAATTTTAGAATTGATACTAGCCAGACATGAAATAAGTGCTTAGCTAATTAAAAAAACATTATGAACAATAATGAGGAATAAAATATTGAATGATTGAAAGTCAAATTTGAATGAGAAATTAATTTAAACAAAATGTAGCAAAGAGTTTTATATGTACATTTTATATACATGTACATGTATGTCTTAAATTCAAAGAAAAGAGTCTTGAACAGCCTTGTCAACAGTTCTCAGAAGGTTTTGATTTTAACAAATGACTCAAATATGTTCAATTTGACATTATAAGGGATGCACCACTTTCAGATGATAAAAACAATAATCCAACTAATAGTAATGCACAAAATGCATTTGACGTCCTAACGAGAAAAGCAAAAGGATTGATAATCTAAATAAATACACTCAAACTGAGCACAAACAACTGATAAGTGGCCTCCAGTGGACAAGTTAAACCATCCATGACATCCAGTTGGGAAAAGTACCTGCCTGTCTGATCTGTTTACAATGAGTAGACCTGGGGGAGAGGAAACGGACATTCTTTTAAATGTGGCTCTACTTAATTTTTTGGGGGTGAAATAGGAAGCACACAATTTATTCATTTTTGCCTTACCTACCGTAGAAAGGCTTGTATAGTTCACACTGGTACATAGTCCGCACCTCTTCTCCCCACGAAATTTTAGGCAAAAAAACTTTTTGAAACTGTTAGAAAAGGTCTAATGAAACTCCGTTAATTTCAAATCCTGTGCGGTCGTTAGCGGTATTTTCTTGGGAAAACCTGTTTTCCATCATCAAACAGAAGCTGAAACTGCTTGTAAATGATTCTAGAACGCTTCATGATTGTTAAAATAAGTTTAATTCACTTAAAAAACAATTTTGAAACTTGTGTATGTTTAAACAGGAAGTTTAAAAAGCACGCGTAAAAGAAGAAACTAACCGGTGAGAGTCGAAATCCGTACATAACAGATATCACTATAATACGACTTTGAAAGTAAAACAGTTCCATCCTTTTGTAAAACAGTCTTTAATATATCTATCACATTAATGTTTGAAGGGTCTTAAGCTAATACAAACTATATTAGTCAGTATGAAACACCAAAACGGAACGAACAATAACCGATTACGTTTTGTAGTTTACAAATTCTAAGCTGGTTTACGGTTGTCTTTTTCACTATGTTTGTATCGTTTCAATCAAGCAGATACCAGTTTATTTCAACCAATGCATTGAAAAGAAACGAGAAATTTGTAATGAAAGGTTTAGTTTTTATATTTATCAGTATTAATTTGGTATTGAATAGAAATAACTTATTAATATGGATGAGTTAAAATTATTAGTTTGAAAAATGATAAGAGCGCCCTCTACAATATAAATAACAAAGATGGCGGAACGTAAACAAACCACCTGGCCCGCGAAATTGAAATTTTTCTCTTATTTCTTGCTTATTGTACTCTATAGTCCGCACCCCGTCTGGAAGGTCCAATTTTGGAGAATAAAACCGCGGACTATACAAGCCTTTCTACGGTACATCTTTTGTTGTGATGCAATGTCGTTTACAAGACCTCTTGTTGCATGACATCAGAATTGAAATTACAGGATTTATTTCACATCAAATATTGGTTTTTATTTCCATTCATTGCAACCAAAATAAAAAAAAATTAAAATTTAATCATAGGAAAAAATTGTAACCTGTCATTGTGACCGAGATATTCCACCATTCGAGGTATTACTCCGGCATGGATAATATCATCAATAGGAGGATTCCTTTCCTTTGACAGCAGTTTTCTTGCCCCCTGTGTACATTGCAGCTGTGTAGCAGCATCTGTACTGTTAATGCCTGCTATAATCTCAACTAAGGTCAGTCCAGAGGCATTGGTCTGTCAAAATTAAAAAACAAACATTTTACTGTTAATAGATCAAATATTTGACAACAATAACTACTAGTTAGATGTATTTCATATAAACCCTTGTTGTAGAACTTAGACACTGTCGAACTTTTAATATTTTTTGGGGAAACCAATCGGATAGAAAATCTGAGAGCTCTCCAAACGTTTTAAGTCTATTTTGCAATAGAAAATAAATGGGGATGTGTCCATGGGACAGATGATGCCCCTGCTTGCATAAAACATTATAAAGGGACACAACTCAAGAATGATAAAAAAGACGCTACCCAAATTCATACTTGATCTGAGTTTTGTGGTAATAAGTATTGTGTATAAGTTTCATAACATTTGGTTGAGGCAAAGTTAAGTTCGAGTACGGAAACTGAATTTTTCCATTTGTAAAGGTTCATAACTCTAGAACGGTTCAAGTGAGGCCATCCAAATTCAAACTTGATCTGTGTTTTGTGGTATTAAGCATTGTGTACAAGTTTCATAACATTTGAGGCAAATTTAACGGAGAGAATGGAAACCAATTTCGGGACGTACGGACGTACAGGGGTAAAACTTAATGCCCCCTCCATAGGGGATAAAAAGTGAGGATTAGCAGATTTTGTTCAAGGACCAACAAGAAAAAGAGTATGGGAACTCTGAAATCATTGTGATGGGTAATTACTAGTTCCTTAATAAAAAGTCTGTAATGTTTTGCATGTTTACCTATCAAAGATACAACTATGATTCAATATAAAGCAAGAAGAAATTTGATACTGGGACTACTTCATCATGTTTATATGGGAATAAAACAATTACTTTATTTGTGGCATCTCCTAAAGGACTGGTAGGTTCTTCATCTATTGCCACATTTCTCCTTTTTAACAGCTGGTCATCTTTCTTGGATTTTCTTAGTTCTACAGATACTTCATTTCTACGTCTTCTCATCTCCTGAAATATATATTCTTATTCATTGTTAATCATTTTAAAAAATTTAATATACCTATGATACGGACCATGATATCTAATTACAGCAGTTACCTCAAATGATGCCCATCATTGCGAAACTATTTAAAAATTACAAAACAAGGTCTTTTCCATGTTATTATCAATGATAAAGATGGCTCGTAAAAATCAGGGAAATATCCCAATCAAATGGATTATTGGAGGTCTAGAAATGAGGTTAGATCTGATGAGTTAAGCCTTTTTTTAACTGATTTTATAGTTTGTTCTTACATGTATGTTGTGCTGTTACATCACTGTCCCAGATTAGGGGGACGGTTGAGCGCTCACAAACATGTTTAATCCCGCCACATTATGTGCCTGTCCCAAGTCAAGAGTCTGTAGTTCAGTGGTTGTTGTTGCTTCATGTCCGTCATATTTGTTTTTCGTACAGTGTTTTGTTATAAATTAGGCCGTTAGTTTTTTGAATTGAATTGTTTCATATTTTTCTTGTCAGCCTTTTATAGCTGACTATACGGTATGGGTTTTTCTCATTGATGAAGGCCGTACGTTTGCCTTTAATTGCTTACATCCACTTCATTTGAACTTTGGTGGATAGTTGTCTCATTGGAAATCATACCACCGTTGTCTCATTGGAAATCATACCATATCTTATTTTTTTATTATTCATTCTAAGACCAATAATATGTGTGTGGTTTTGTCAATAACTGACCAACTCTGGCATTTTTTTTTTCTGTTCAGGACTTGCTACAATAAATTTTGTACAATCGGATCTTCTATATTTTGGGGCCTTACCCTTCCTTTTCATTGCAACACTTGTTAAAAAATATATTACTTTAATATGTGTATCATGAAAATTCATTATAATTACTCAGTTCTTCACTTACGTCGACATCTCTTCCTTTGTTTTTGTAGGTTTTAATACGAGCATTTTCATTGGAAGGCATCTTTTAAGGCTTTTCTTTTAAATCTGAAATGAACAGAACTTTATTCAATTGTAATTAGGCCGAGAAAAAAAAAATCTGTGTTTCCGGTAACCCGACCGACCCTGTTTTTTTAGCCCCGAGCCTAATTTTTTTATTGGATCTTCAAAAAAAAAAAAAAAATTTGGTATCCACCGACCCTGTTTTTGACACAGGCTTCTGTTAATTGACATAATTATTTATCTAACTTGTTTCTACTCGCACAGAAAGCCAGTAAAACATTTTATTTATGTCAAAAGGTATTCCAAATACTAGGTTAAAATCCAAGAAATTTGCACAGCAGTTGCTTCTAAAACATTGCAAATGGCCGCACTTCCGGTATTTTAAACTAATTACGGACCCAGACTTGGAAAAACCATGTTAATTTTCCCGATTTCGTTTACAATGTCCAAAAAAAAAAAAAAATCCGACCTACCGATCCTTTTTTTCAAAATGATGTTACCGGAAACAGATTTTTTTTTTTTTAGGCCTTATGACATATATCCAGATTCAGATGTACAATGTATCAATATAAGGCCAAAAAATGTGTGTCTGCTTAAGGTTACATAAATAAAAAAATAGGGTAGGTACAGTTGTAGGTCGGTATTTCCATTTTATTATATTTTTTCCAACATGATTTTGAGTCGTGCGGTTCCGTCTTGCCTTGGTCCGAGTTTACCCATATTTTTAATGAATGGTTTATTTCATCACAAGAGTCGCGAGTTTCTTATAACAGCTGTCATATTCATGATTTTGAACATTTAGATGTATCAGGCAATGGATTTATTTTATTGGCAACTCTAACTTGGCTTTTGAAACGAGTTCAGTTTAATTTTTCACTTTACGACGGGAATAAAATGACTTGGGGTCGGTCAGGTAACCGTAAACAGACATATATTTTTTTTTTGGCCTGAATGAATTGTTCAAATCCTATGGATTGTAACCGAGAGTGCTGAACTGTCCAGACATGGAAAATCAGTATCAGTCCTAATCAGGTTTAGAGCGCCATGTTCAGATTGTGAGGCTTAAAAATTGAGTGGTGAAAAAAATATTGTTTTGGCCAAAGACATGGCAAAAAAGAAATTTACCCATAGAAAATCCTGTAAAAAACAGTTAATGAAAACTAGCAATTGGTTTGGAGAGAGATATGGAGGTGTAGGCACATAAGATTGAAAGTGTTGGTTTGGAGTGAGATATGGAGGTGTAGGCACATAAGATTGAAAGTGTTTGGTTTTAGGTGATGTTATTCAAAATTATTTTTGCGTTTGTGGGGCAGAAATCTACATCAGTAAGTTGAGCAAAGGGATAAGAATTATAATGGGGATAATTTCCTTATGACTGCTTCTATAAATGTGTTAAAATGATAGAATTAATTTATTTCTTTAGGCAAGGTTACATGTAGATAATGTTCCTATAGACCTGTATAAAGACCTTTTAATGTCTGAAAAATGTCAAGCAGGCAAAAGACGTCAGTCCAACAATGTAGGGATCAAATTGCCCATAAAACATTTCACTGACATAAGAAATCAGCTTAACCTTAGTAAAAGAGTTTTTTCTGGTTATTCATGAGATTCAGAATTTATTGACCAATCATCAACCCTCATAGGGCATATGCTCAAAATATAACAATTTCACAATGATTATCATAGCATATATCATTAAAGATGCATTGGTAGTGCACAAATGATTGAACTAAAAGAGGCAAACAACAGGTGCGGATCCAACCATTTTTAAAAGGGGAAAGGAGGGGGGTTACCAACCAACACATGCAAGCAGAGATGGGTCTGATAACTTTCAATGTAATTGATTAAATTACAATTACATTTGTATACTTTGTTAATTGTTAATTAAATTAAATTAATGATTACATTGCCATTGGCAAGTAATCATGATTATATCTGATAGCAATGAATTTCAAAATTACCCATTTGAACGATGTTAATGAATAAAGCTTTTAAAGATTAAAACTAGACAAAGTGATGCCCCTGCACTCCACTCTGAAGTAACTGTATTATAACAGTCAATGTAGGACTTTCTTCGAGATATTGTGTCTGGAAGACACAAATGATGCCCCCGCAGATGCAGAGTGTTATTTTAAAATACACAAAGTTGACCATAGGAGCACATAGGTCTATGGTTCACTGTAGGCGGAGTTATCCAGAAACGCTATGCACCTCTTAAATGCAAGTATATCAGACTCAAAAAATGAAATAGTTCAACTATCTCCCAAAAGAGCAAATATCAATAAAAATCAAAACCCTGACCACATGCACACCTTCAATACATGTACAAACAGCAAGCAAAGTGAAAAATTCTTAGCATTCAAACTCATTGAAACTGTAGCAGGAGTTATCTGGAATAACTAATACCCATAATGGGACAGACGGAAGAACGGATAGAGGTAAAACAATATGCCCACACACCCCCCCCAAAAAAAACCTCAGTTGTGGGGACATAAAACTCATCTTAATTACATTTTATTGGTATCAAAGTACATGTATATCCATATTTCATAATACCTTAACATGCATAAAAGAAAACTATTTTAACAAGTTATATATATTTATTAAATATGAATAATAAAAATGTTCATTTAAGACATAATATATTGTCCATAAACACAATTAGAGATTTTTTTTTTTTATTTTAAACAGAATGTAAACAAAAAGTAATCAGGATTACATGGTATCGGGTCCGTTCACCCTGAGTCCGTTCGCCCTAATTTTTATAAAAGAAATAATATTAATGGTTTAATTTAAAGTTTTGTAATCTTATTCAGATATTTAAATGGTAAATATTAAAAATATAAATCTCCAAATTCATGAATAAACATTGAAATTGAAAAAAAAAGTTTTTGTATTGGAGCATTTATCAGGCTAATTGGCTTCATTGTTACAATAAATTACTTTCAATGACTGTTGATTGTAAATAAACTCATCATAGATACCAAGATTTTGTACGCCAGACACAAGTTTCGTCTACAAAAGACTCATCAGTGACTCTCGAATCAAAAAAGATAATAAGGCCAATTTAACTACGAAGTTGAAGAGCATTGAGGACCCAAAATTCCTAAAAGTTTTGTCAATACAGCTAAGGTAATATATTTCTGAGGTGGAAAAGCCTTAGTATTCCGAAAATTCAGTTTTGTAATTTAGAATGCTGATTAGATATGATTACGATGTCTTTGATCTCACCGATTGTTGTAGTTATTGTTTTTGATTGATTAATATTGAAATTGAATTTTTTTAAATAAACAAGTCAGCTTGGAATAAGTTAAAACAATGATGTATTGAGTGAGTTGGATCTTGTTATACCTGTTTGGATTGTTTTGAAATTGTTACAAGGTTTCAAAAAAGATAAATTCATACAGATAACTTGGTCTCCAGTTCCTGAACACTTCTTCTTCTTCAACAAACTTTAACATTATCAATTCAAATAATTTATATTATACAAGACAACAAAATAAAATAGAAATCAGGGCTAACGGACTCAGTGCGAACAGGTATTCAGAGCTCCAGATAAGCTGCGTATTTGCGTGATCACGCAATACAAATAATTAAAAACCCAATGCAATTGCCCATTGCAGGGTTCAATAACCCAATTAATTCAAAGGAAAACCCAATTATATGCCAAAACCATGAGTTCTTAACGCTTTTATTCGCTATCGTTTGCGTTATTTACCCTTATCTGATTACAGTCGTCGCGTAAATCTATTTTTATAATATTTATAATTGGAAATGTCCTTTCGTTCTTAAAATAGAGCCCTGCATCAAGTAGCTGTAATGGGTCCCTGTTGGAATTTTCCGTTGCTCAAAAGGTACACGTGTTTATGAAAACATTTCGATCTTCTCGGCGTTTATCCAATTAGCGTGTGACATGGTGTCATATTTTTTCGAATTGCTCGGGATTTATCATAACATACAATGAATTAAAACGAAAGTAAATGTCCGATAAAAATATTGAATAGAAGCATGTTTTCGGCTTCTTTTTGATAGCTGAGGGAAAGTTATGATGATAACAAGACTCAGCTAGTGATTTTAGGAAGCGTCCATTGAACGCACGGGCGTGTTTGAAGGTACGAGAACATTGCTATAGAACGATAAACACGGGGTTTCGTCAAAAACGAAATCAGTTGGAAAAAGTGAAAGGCCAATTCAATAATGACATGATATGTAGTTGGAAAGCGTCGGAAACCAAAAGTTCTGATAAGGGACAACTTAACCCAGATTTATGTAAATTTAAATAAACAAAAACAGTTTATATATTTTTTTTTCATTTTAGTTGATGAATGAATACACATATCCGTTTTTTACGTCAAATTATGCAGCTTGACACTTTCTTTGTTTTGGTCTAATTGTTCTGGATGCTTAAGATAGTTGTCTTATTGGCAAGTGCAGTATAACATTGTCATTTATTTACTTGATGTTGCAGAATTATTTGTAAATTTAAGTTGAATGTGGTCTCCATCATTAAACCACCCTATAAATCTCAAGGTTTTGGGGTATATCTTAAATCTGGGAACTACTTTTTATTTTCATTAAAAAGTAGATCTGGCAAATAGGTGAAAGGACTGGCAAAACTTTCTTACAGCACCTAAATTTCACATATATTACATAAAAATCTAAACACTTAACCACACCTACCCCAACTATAAACTGTAGGGTGATCATATGGGATCTAGAAAGGCAATTAGTTACTGTCCAACTAGTGACACCAGCTGCAGTTTACATAAGTTTTGAGAAAATACAAAACTGACAGAACGTTTAAAACGGGACACAAATTAAACGTACAATTGCTCGTCAGTGAATAAACCAAATAAAACAGCTAAGCACATATACAAAGAAAGAAACACATTTAAGATGGAAACACATCTGTGGTTGATATAATGTGATTATAACATGCCTAAATATTCAATATTGTGTTGATGAAAAAACCCAATACATTAAGGAGCTTGGTGGTGAAAAACCCAATTTGATATTTGCTTGAGGGGTGAATTGGAATTGATAATGCAATTAAAAAACTTTATCACCCAATAACATAAAAAAATGGTGGGTAAAAACCCCAATTTGTGAATTCTTATCTGGAGCTCTGGGTATTAGGGCCAATGGACCCAGGGCGAACAGGTACTAGGGCGAACGGACCTGGATTCGGATTACATGGTATTATGAAAAGTAACTGATTAAATTAAATTAAATGTAATCAGATTTTTGGCTGATTAATGATTTCGATGATTTCTTGAAAAATATGTAATCAATTAAAGCTGATTAAAGATTACATTTATCAAAAGCCCACATGCAAGTCATATAAAAAGGGGGGTTCCAACCATATGTCCACATATATTAGTTTTCAAACAAAAAAGGGGGGATTGATAAATGAGCTCAATTAATAGTACTGGTTTAATGTAATAAGCATTTAAAATTGTCAATGTTTAAAACTAAGATGATTAAATAAAAGATTATTCAATTAAAAACTGCATGAATTCCAAGTATAAATTAGAATAATGACTCTTAGGTCTTTTGGCAGTATTGCTAATCACTTCACCCAAAACGACAAATGCAGAGCTGATTGACATGATTATAATGATTCTAAATAATAATACTATTATAGCCAAAAAAATTAAACAGGATAAAGTAATTTAATTTTAACAAGACCCTAAAATTAAAATTAAATGATTAAAGCTGGTAAAGTTTAGGTTCTTTGTCATAAATATCTCGACTTGGAAATACTGAATTTCATTTTACCTGAATACTGATCTCTTCGTTAATACTGTTTCAATAAGATACTAAAATTTCAATTGGTTTCTGGTGCAATAGCCAATACTTGTTTTCTCCACTAATGTAAACTGCCTTTTAAAAATTCCGGGTAATATAAAATGTCATTTTGCCGTTTCGTTTTGATTGGATGATAGGGAATAAAGATAATTTCCATTGGTTGTAGCCACTAGCAACAAAACATGCCGAAGGTATATTTTCAAGACTTTTCTCTGTCTATAGGGAAAGTCTAGAGTGGTTCGAAACAAGCACCTGTTCTGCGGAAATATATTTTTCCTATGAATAACTGTTAAAAACAATTTTTTTTCAAAGAAATATCAAGTGCAGGATTTTTTTTATTATTAAAGTTTCATCAACAAAAAATTGTTTTTGTAAATATTGTGCCACTTCCGTTCATGCGCTGGATACAGATTTCCGAAAACAATCATGTCGGCAGACGAAGACACCGAGCTTCGCGATCTTGTAGCACAAACTTTAGAGACAAATGGAGTTTTAGGGAAAATCAGGGTAATTTAAACCAAAGAAAATATCGAATATTATTGGTGGATGAGCTAACATTTCGCACTCATAGTCAGAACGCCTTTCTATTTGAATTTTAAGACGTTGCTGATGACGCTTTTGCATCCATGGTGCATGTACTGACAAGAAGTTGGCAAAGTTTCCACGGAATGTAGAAACATTTGTAACATGTTTACAAATGATTATCAATGCATGAACGTCATAAATATTTATTCTACTTCGTATTTGTCCATAATCGTGATGTTTACCACAATTTGATAAACCAACAATCTTAAAAAAAAATATATTAAACTTTTTCTTCAAATTATCTCCCTTTAAATTAGAAACAAATACTATGACAGTTTGTGTTTATCAAATTTATAAGGGAATTACAATATACCCTTTGCAGTAACAATTGTATGACATAGTCTGCAAAAATAGTGATAACACAATGCCCCAGGTATTTATATTTATTTATTCTTTTATGACATGTACCCTCGACCACGATGATTGATGACATTAGTTTTTTTCATTCTTTTTTGTCCATAAGTACAGCTAACATTTTTCCTGATTTTGGAAATAAAGCTCCATTCTGGTGATAACTAGGCTGTTATATTTATCAAAACAATCATAGCTGTCCACCGCAGGGCTCATGCTATGGGAGACTCGTGTGAAAAAATCTACTATCAGTGTATCCTAAACTCTGTCTGACCGACAAAATGTCAGACAAAAAGGTCATTCGGTCAGACAGAAATTATCAGATTTTTTAGTTGAAAATATAGTAGAATAACGTCAAATTCCTTTTTCTGTCAGACAAACCGTAAAACAGTTTGGCAGAGACTGCTATCCGCCCGTCACTTTGCTTTTCTGGACCACCAAAAGCCATGTATAGTCACCCGGGTGTTCACAACAGTCCACTTTCGTCATCCACAATTTTCAATACTTACCAAGTTGATGAAACAGCAATTATTAAAATTATAAATAAAGAAATTCAAAGATAAAGACAATTTATTTCTTTACACAGATTGAATGTATGTTATTTCAAAGAAACAACAATTTATGCATACAAATTGAAGTATTTCCTTTCACTTGGACCAGCATTGTTACTCGAGGGTACATCAAAAGAACCTTATTTTTGTTTAAAAATAAGTTGCCTTGCCTTATTCAGGGCTCACGCTAGCAGGCGACTGGGGCAACAAAGTCGCTTTCCCATCCGTCACTTCGCTTTGCCCGACTGTCAAAAGCGAAATCTAGTCGCCCTGGTGTTCACGATACTCACTTTCAGTCGCTTTCGTCATCGGCAATATTCAACATTTACCAAGTCGATAAAACAGCAACTTTTCATTTGAAAGTAAAGAAATTCAAAGACATAAACAATTTATTTTCTTTAGAAAAGAGGTTAAAGCATTGATTTTTAAGTTGGTTGCATTTTATTTTCATAAAGACAATTTTTTATCACTTCTGGTACTTGTTACTGAGAGTGTACATCAAATCATTCTAACTTTCAGCAAAATAAGCTTGTTACTTCATTAGAACGTGATGAAATTTGCCTGAAGTAAATTGGTTATCCTTATATTGCATTAAAAACGTCATATTCCCTTCCAAATAGCATGGCAAACATCGTTTATTTTTGTAAATTTTTCTTCGTCAGCCATTTAAATTTTTGGGCAAATTATTGTTCAACTACGGATTGGAGTCGGAATTCATCGGAAATGGACCAGCTATGACCGAAATCCGGATTCTTGCGATAATGACTAAGGACGCATGAATGGCACAGCTGACAGAAGAAAATTGATCCCAAAAGGAAAAATTACACATTCCACAAGCATGAACACACTTTTGGTTAGATCTTCTTGATTAATGTATATATTTCCATGTATATGCATTGTTTCAATTTATAAATTAAAGTTGCTCAACTCTGGGACTATTACACTTATATAATTATATTATGTCCAAGCTTAACTGTGTTAAATAAAACTGTTAAATTTAAATATCTTTTTAATGAGAAATACTTAATTTCATAAACACGATAACAGAGTAGTTTTTAATTGAATTTTAATTGATATAACAACTTCCTTTTCCTTTTTGATATAAAAAAAAAACTTTTTTATTATTGCCAGATATTTAATTGTTTTTTTCTGACAAGAGGACTAATATGATTGTGCAACTAAATATGATAAAATTAAACAACTTTGAATTTGAACTGTTACATTAATTGTATACCCAGGTACAAATTGAACAATATAACAAAAAATAAGATACATGTACATATGGCTCTCTGTATTATAGTAAAAACCAAACATTGTAGGGCCTCGAGCGAACGAGCACTTCTCTTTCAAATTTCACCACTTCTCCCTCTCAGTTTCAAAAAGAGAAGTCACTTCTCCCTATGATTCTGAAGTAGTGTGAGCCCTGCATATAGGACTGTAATTGAATTTGACTTTGGTCAACGTTTGAATCATTTATTGCATTGAAAAGGTCATATTCTTTTCCAAATGACTTGTTGAACTTAAGATTGATATGTTGTAATTTTTCTTCATCCCCTCAATGAAAAACAGGGATCTGCATGCCCTGTTTTATGATGGTGCACTGCCATCGTTAGAATATCATCCGCTTTCGTCAAATGATCCCCGCCATTGTTAAATTATCTTCCACCATCGTTAAATAATCCAGGCCATTGTCAAAATTTGTTTTCGTATAGCTAGCCAATGCCATTTTTGTTAGAAATTACAATCAGTTGCATGTAATTGCATAACCCTTATTGTATTATAAACCAAAGGGTCCTCCTGATTACAGCATTAAAGCCCTGAAGCCGGTTGTACGAACGTTTCATTAGTCTAATGAGTCATTAAGTCTTCTTTAGCCTAATGCATCATAAAGGCTTAATGAAGACTTAATGACTCATTAGGCTAATGCCACGTTCGTACAACCGGCTGCTGAGGGATATCCGGCTAAAGATCGCTAATCACTTGTACAGGTAGATCAACACACCTGACAGGAGAAGACTTGACCAAGATAGGAGATTGATTGCATTATTTAATTATATTTAAGCAAATGCTAATGAAAATTTAGATTAAATAATAATTTTTAAATCCAGTTACGAAGAAAAAAGTTATATGCTTTTATATTGACTTACGCAATCAGCATCCCCCTTTTTAAACAAGTACAAATAAGACGTAAAACAGAACATAATTTTATGCCAAGTAACACGAGTAAAACAATTATCGATAATATTGAATCAATTTACAAGTTTAAAAGTAAATCATGAATATTAACTTCCAACTTGATAATCTGAAGAAATTTCTAATCGTAATTCCAAATTCATTTCGTAGTGTACAATCAGTTTCTCATTCCGAATCAAAAAGATGTATGTTGCATAGTCTGTTACTATTAAATTTGCAATTTAAAGTCATTAAAATCATTAAAGTTGTAGGCTTGACATTGGGATTGTTACAAATGACAATTAATGAAAATATCAGACTACACGAATGAATTTTATTTTTACATGACATTCAGTATGGTAAACAACCTAGCTTTACCAGACCAAATGAAATTTTACCAGACCAATGTTTTTTACATCTAATTGTATATTATCCGACAAAATACAACAAACTTATGACTTGTGCCCTACTCCTCTCCATTTTTCAAACTTCAGCCACGGCCGATTTTCTTGCCATTTTTTATTCAATTTCCATGATGGTCTGGGTGTCTCATATACTTTGCTTTTTTCTTTCCTTTCATCGTCCGTTATTTTCTTTTTTGCAGCTTTACCAGGAATGGCTCCTTCCGTATATTTTAATAATCCAATCATGTTATCCTTTCATATATAAATTTAGAAAATACAACGGAAGTAGTATTCTACCGGAATTACGATAATAAAAAAAACAACACCGGACATTCGGACTGGAATTCAACAAAATTTTACCAGACCAATCCATTATTCACCGGATTTGTCCGACAGTCCGACGAATTTCGTGTAGTCTGAAATATTGGTTATTCTATTAAGAAATAAATATAAGAAATATATCAGTCTGTTCACCATTCCTTACATCCCTGAAACATTTGACATGTAAGAAGTCTTTGATTTTATCACCATGTACAATAACCTAAAGCCTTAGGAGCCTTACTGTCACATTAGGCAAAAAAATGTATTTTTACAGTGCCCATCTTAAAAGTAATATTGTCACAATCTTTCATTTTGGGCAAAATCTATAGTAGACAGAGAGAAACTGTCAACATAGAAGTGATCAGTAATACAAGATCAACAAAAATGATATTTTGGTTATGAATTATATTCTAGTCTATTACATTTGTATGTTGTAAAGTGGCCATTGACATTGTAGTCTCCAATTTTATTAGGCCTTAGCCAACAACACTATTCTTTTCTATGACTGAAATAGAAAATATAATGTAAACTCTTGTTTCATTGATTTCTTCTCATCCTGCTGAATTTACATCCTATTAGTTACTGTGTAAAGAGATTTTGAAGGTAAATAAACATAGATATGATGAGAGGCATATAAGACTTTTCCAAAAACAGTGCTTAATTTCTCAAATTTATTTTTCAGGCACAGCTGAGGGCCAGTGTGTTCCTAGCTTTAGAAGAACAAGAGTCTTCACAGGTATTCATTTTTGTATGGACACAAATCCTGAAATAAATTAACTTGTCCAAAACAGAATCATTTGGCATTAGTCTGATAAAAAAAAAAGATACGAGATTAACAGACCTGTGGACCAATACATTTTTGGTTTAATTGTTACACTTTTTATGCTGAAATAACTCCTATTTGCTTTACCTTTGATATAACCCTTTTTGAGCAATTGTTTAGAAATCAATAGAAACCATTTCTTTCTACATTGTTGTACACTAAACTTGATCAGAATTTCAACATACACATCTCAATTAATTATTGCATTTAATGATTTTCATTTGGATCAAGATTTTGCTTTTAATGTATTAAGATTATTACCTGTTTTTGTTTATGTGGATTGGCAACTCAGGATTATTTAATTCTGAATAGCAAATTTGCCAAAAATTCTAGAAGACTGCATTATTTTGTCATGTGTAAAATGTTGATTGATTGATTTCAGCACACCTGTCTTGATCATGGCAGCAACTTTTTATTGGTGTAGGAAGCAGGAGTACCCAGAAAGTACCTCCTAGATTCCTAGACAATTAAGATTTGAGTAGATCCACAATCTCAGTATTGACAGGCTAGTGATCACTGTAGATGCACTAATTAGACCAGTCTTCACGCTGAACCACAGGCCCAGCAGCCCAGGCTTGTAAAATTGCTTTTGTGCCTGTAAAAATCATCTCTTCAGGCCAACAGAATTTAACTAAAATTTTCCAAAAAATTAAGCTGTAGATTCAACAGTTTATTGGGAAGACTGTTAGACCCTTTAATATAGGCCACTATGACATATTGGGTTTGATCTTCAGCTGAATAAATATTTCACAAATAAATGGGCGAGATTGTTTTTAACATCCATGACATTCAGAAGTTTATATTTTATTTATAACTTGCCAGTGTCTATCAAAATCAAGCTGAAATCTGGAAAAGTAAGATATACATGTATGAAGATATTATCTTTGTGTGTATGAAGACTGCACAGGAAAAAGTTATTTAAGAAGTTATAGATGTATCACATTTACACATTTTACCTAAATTTTATATGATCTGAATTATGTCCCATATACGAAAAAAGACTTTGATATATTATATAATATAGATTTTTAATCAAAGATGTCATCCTAATCTTGTATGCTTACAGATTATATAAAAATTTGAATTTTGTCATATTTGAGATTGAATAAGGCTTTTATTGTCATTTGTTTATGCGATAATGGTGTTTTTTTCCTGATTTATCTTTTTATTTATTTGTAGAATAAGACTCCATTTGCAAACCATGACCTGAGGAAATTTCTTGGTACAAAGGAAGGTAAATTATCTTGTAGATGACTAGTATGACAGAAATGTGGTGTACATACATGAAACATTCTTCAGTGATATACCAGTGTCTGTCTATACAGTATGTGTAGTTCTAAATCGTCTGAATTTAGAAAACTTGTGAATAATTTCAACACACACTATCAAAGATCTGCCTTCAACACCAAATCACATTAAGATATAACGAAAGACAAATTCTGACAAAGTTTTTGACTTATGACAGAAACAAGAACATGTGTGAGTGTTGAACCTCCCAATTTTTATCTTGATCAGTAAAGTGACAAAAAAAAATAAATGGAAAATTGCAATGAAATTCAGTTCATAAGAAACACTTTTAAAACTCTATAATTACAGTAGAGTAGACAACAAAAGTGCAGAGACAAGGAAAACATTACCATATCATACCAAATAAAAAATGATTGCACTTAAAGATGCAAAGCAAAGTACATGTATTGAACCTGCTGACATGTGATTAGCAAATCCTACATTCTAATGCTGGCTGCTGTACTTTTGAGTACATTTCTTACAGCTTGAACAATGTATAAGAATAAAACTCTGTTATAATTGGCTATCAAGGAATAAAATGAAGGCACAGCAAAAGGCATAACACAATGTTTTATCATTTAATATTTTGACTTGGGATTAAGAAGTTACATATGGGAGATAACTCTGGTTATTGTTGATTAGAAATATGATATAAATTATAAATTTTGGCTTTAATTGAAGGATTTGTTAAATGGTAATCCATTTAAAAAGATAAAATGTAACATTTTTTCATATTTGTTATATATTTAACAGGGAAAGCTGTAGCTGGTTTGATAAAAGAATTCCTAGAATTTTTCCAGTTAGAATATACACTAGCTGTGTTTGAACCTGAGGCTGGACTGGTAAATTTTTTGAGAATTTTATGCAAATGAAGACTGTCAAGCAATCCTTATAGATAGTTTTAACTAGATTTGTTATGTCTTATTTATACACAATTTTTAACCTCAATAGTAAGTTAGATGTTCAGTATATTTTGAGATGATAGATTTATTCTTTACCTAGTTCTTTTGATCCACACTCCTCTAGGGGGCTGTGACGGAGAGAGGCTGCAGTAATTATTTGAGTTTGTGTCAGGTCTATATTGGTCCCAGGTTTTGTAAAGGAACTACAAGAATAAACCTTTTTTTTTGTCATTTCTTCTATTAACTTGGAACTTGGTATGATAGAAATATTAAATTGGAATTAAAAGAAATTGTAATGCAAATTTAAGGACCTACTGACATTGACAAACATTAAGCTTATATTATTTACTGAAAAAAGTTGCTAACTTTCTAAAGAACTGCAGTAATGAAACTATATGCATTGGTGATATATCAATAAATTTTTTACAACACTCGTACCATAATGAATACTGAAATAGAATTTTAAATTATGTACATGTACACAACTTTGCCAATCTTTCCACCAGTGATTCTTGTGAATTCCTGTCAAGTTCATTTTTCAGTAATGCAAATTTTAAACCGCTTCTTGTGAGTTGTTGTAACTGAACTGAGCACAGTATAATCCCAATATAATTCAGAACATACCACATGAGTCAAGAGATACACTTGCAAAAGAATTAAATGTAGCAGATACGGGACAGTCAGCTGGACCCCTCATTGCAGAATTAGTTCAACAGAAAGGTCCAGCACCCAGATCTAGAACCCCTACACATGTAAGTGTATTGTAGTTTTGCCAGAGGTCTTTTTAAGATTGTGTTTTTATATAAGTTTTGAGAAATAAATGGATGAGAGTATTTCATTGTACTAAACAAATGTTCCAAGAAGCTTTTTTGTGTAGTACCCTTAAGAAATGAATAATCATAACTGTCTGTTACGTGTGAAAATTGAATTTTGCCATACTTAACAGCAAAAGATAATAGATACATATTTTTGAAAGGGTGTTTAGTTTCTAACAAAACTCTCATCTTAAATTATAACTTATTTGCCTTAATATGATAAGCAAAGAAAAAAGAATTCTGTAACAGTAACCTTTTAAGTAAAAAAGTTGCATTGATCTCCTGCTCCTGACTTTCTGGTCATTTCATAGCCTAATTGGTGACCATTATGTACAGCATCACAGGTGACAGTTGTCACACTTATACACACAAAAAAGATATTATTAATTTTCACAGTTCAACTTCAACAATTTGAAGGTTAAAGATTTGAAACAGTCACATAAATGTATGATTATTAATATATTATCATGTTTTAGCAATATTATTGGGTAAATATAACTAGGGGTTTCAGTAGTGTTAACAGGGCACTGATGTGATATGGGGAGATGTCTAATGTTTTAATGAAAATGAGTTTAATTTTTACAATAATGAGGTTTGAAGTGGGTTTAATTTTTACAATAATGTAGTTTGAAGTGGGTTTATAGCATTTTTGAGTGTAGTTTTTAAACAATAATGAAATCTCTTTATTTTGCAATGTAAAACAATGTTAGTGTGTCTGAAAGATTTTAATATCTTGTGTTGATCATGTTTTATTGCACTTATCAGCTATTTAAATTTTCAGCAAGTTATAATTTCAGAGTTGTCTAACCTGCTTTAACTATAATTAACACTTTGTTATGATTAACATCACTTTATCTCTATTTATGCACCTTTTGTTGGCTAACAGATCAGTTCTGAGGAAGGGCAACAGTGCATACCTAAGGTAAACTGTGTAGTATTTAAATTCATTTATAGTCAAATGAGCTGCAATTTTTCATAAGAAATAGTACCAGGGTAGCATGGTGCTTTAATTTTATATGTTGGGCTATTATTTTAGGGAAACAGTGCTATTTCATATCTATTTGATAATTCTGGGGCAAGCACTACAGTTAAAAATAAAAATATACCACAGTTAATATGATTCTATGAAGTAATTGATACTTGTTAACATATTGGAGACTTAAAAAATTATCTAAGGCTCTTTTCTGAAATCTATGATTCCCATGATGATATGTGTTCCTCCCCTCTACAAGCAGAGCTGGTGATATGTAAATGCTGTTATTTGTTTGTCTGATATTGAAATTGCTCTCAAAAGTACAGATCTCATCATAATTCAATAAAATGTATGTCCAAGGTTTACATTAGTTATTTGGATGTGTTGAAAATCAGCATCTTTGGAAATATATTGATAATTATTGAAAGTGCTCTTGTGCAAATAAATTATCATTGAAATATTTCAAAGGGGTTACATCATCAATGTCTCAGATGAGTTCAAAAGTCAGTGCTTATCAAATTTTTCCGGTAGGGGTTATGACAGGCAGAAACAATAATCATGATTAAGAAAAGACCAAACACGTATCATGCAATCATTATTAAACAAGAGATTGATTTATTTCATTGAACAGATATAAATCTATATGGTCAACATCCACAAAACATGCATTTGTGGTCACACAAAATAATTCCAAAAATATTTTAATTTGCATATCGATTACAACTTCAAAACGAGACAGCAATGACCAAATGTAGAATCATCTATATTGAATGACTGTTAGTTATGAGACTTGAGATAACAAAAAGGGATGTTGTATCGATCATTGTTCAATTCCAATGCAGGGATAATTGATCTAAAAAATCTGACTGATTCCCATCACTAAAACCTAACTTCCTTGCTTGAGAACAGATAGGTACCAGACAATTAGTATACATATGTCAATATAAATTAGATGTTGCATGATTGCAAATGAGACGATCATTTACAATAGACCAAAATATAAACAACATATTTTGATTAAACTTAACAAGAAGTTGTTTTGGTAACAGGCAGAGTGGATTAATCATTGATGTTGTCACATCTAATTTTGATTCCCTGTTATTAATATTGTAGGTCTAATTTTTTTCAGGATTTAACCAGTAAACAGTTAGAAGATGCACACCAAAAATTTGAATTTTATGACAAGGTGAGTACAAGAATAAAAATACATCTTTTTTAGTTTGGTTGGTTGATGATTCTTTTAACTCTTTCAGCACTATGACCTGCTTTACCGGGAAATCAATTTTACTTCCATAAACACTATATGAATTAGATTTGATTTTGATTTTTGGTGTTTTAACGCCACTTTTAAGCACCGCTTTTGGGCTATTTCATGGCTGCCAGTTTTTATTGGTGGAGGAAGCCGGAGAAAACAACCGACCTTCGATAGAAAAACTGACAATCCTAGTCAATTAAGATTGGAGTCAAGTGCACCCGCACGAGCGGGGTTCGAAACTCACAACCTCAGTGTTGACTGGCTAGTGATTACAGTAGAAACTTCTTAGACCGCTCGGCCACCGAGGCCCCTTATATGAATTAGATAGGCAATAGTGAAACATAGTAGGGGACAGTAATTATGAAGATGACTTTGAGGGGTTTGAAGCCGCGGACATGTTGACAAAAATTTTGACACATGGAGAAAGGCAGAAACTCAAAGAAACATTCGTGAATTTAGGGAACGTGTGGGCCCAGTTAGAAATTTTGACACTTCAGCATCTGCCCTGAACTATTTTCAATGTTTTTATACTGAAGATGTCTTCACTTCAATTTAACTAATTTGAACGCCACCCGAAAATCATGCATGAAAGTTTACACATTTACCTGTGCTAACGAAGTACAAATACTTTGTCAATTGAGACAATATTACAATTTTTTTTTAAATAATCATAAACTATTAGATCATAAATTCAAACAAAATAAAAGTGATGTCATAGTTAAAACACTAGTTTATCAAAATTACCTGATTTACCTGTATTTTTACCTGTATATCAGCATAAGACAAACAGGTACAGCAAGTACAAAGTATGCTGATTATTTTGATACCTCATGATGATGGAATTGGACAACTGAGTACAAATATACATCAGTTTAAAAGTACCTACGCTAAATAAATGAAAATTCTCAAAGTTACTTAGTGTTGAAGGGTATAATACATTGAAAGTTATGCAGTGTTGAAAGAGTTAAGGAAACAGTTCTGTCATAAATTGACCTCATCCTAACCTCAGTCTATGACTAAGAAATTAAAAAACTTTAAAATTTCTTGTGGAAAATCTTTCAAATTGCAATTTTTCTGTGTATAAACAAGCTAACCCAAACACTACCAATACAAAATGTGATAAATACTTACTCTCTATAGAGTAAATAAAGAGGAAAATTATATATTTCCTGCCCAAAGAGTTTCCTTTCCGCAAGTTACAGGTAAGTTACATAATGAAGCTCTGCAGTTGATGCAAAAATAATCCAGCTCTATTCGGATTATAAAGACTTGTATAAGTCATCAGACAAGATCATATGGTCTAGATTTGACCTTGCAGATAGGTTTTCAATCAGATATGACATAGTGGTATGGGATAGGGATTTCACTCAGTATCCAGCTTTTTACCTTGGTATAGTCTAAATTGATTTGAATCCATCACAGTTCACTTGAAAACTACATATGATATAATTGTTATTTGAATTCCTAGTCTAAACAGAATTGAAAATAGATAAGAATGTCCTCGACATATTTCATGCTCCATTGCCTTGTTCTAACTAGCACTACCACTAAAAATGAAGATTAGATTTGTCTTCTATTGATGAAAAATTATTCAATCGGCAAAGATTACTAGCTTTTAAAAGGTCCAGCGGAAATGTCTCATACAGTGTGTATAGGCACCATGATTTCATGTTATAGAGAATAGATATTCACATTACTGTTTATTCTGGCGGTTTTGTTCTTTTTATGTCTTCATGGAAACATAAGTGTAAACATGATAATATGGATGTATTCCATAGAATTCATTTCCAAAGCTTGAAATTTGATCATATAAACATATGATGTTGATAATTAAATGAATATAATATATTTTTTTCCAGGATGGTAATGGTGAAATAGACAAAGATGAACTCAGAGACTTATTTATAGATCTTTTTCCATCATTCAATAGGTATACTTGTAGGTTACAAGAACATAGAATCAACTACAATTAATTGAGATATATTTTACAAAATATCTATTGTTTGTTTGTTTTTTCAACCCCAAGACTGGTCCAGTCATCTAATAGTGTTAATGGGACAGTACTCAACAAAACAAAAATAGTTCAAAAGAAGTGTATATTTCATTTGTCTAGAGCAATTTAAAACTGGATTGAAATCATTACTACCGGTAAATGAATTTTCTATGATTTAAGGGTTGTAATGCATTTAATAGGATGTACTTCTATTTCATTGAAAATACTTTTTTGTACTAGTATTCAATTATCAATTTGCCATTAAGACTTGAAACGTGACAAATTGGATCTCATCATTGAAAAGTATTTTAGAAAAACAAAGCATATGTGGTATCTATCCATGACACAAAGTTATTACATGCACAGCAAAAAACTCACAAAAAGAAAGGGAACAGCGCTTTTATGTTTGAACATGCTTCTTTTAAAAACAAAAGGGAAAAAAAATATTTTTCTTTTTGGAAAATAGTGTATTTTTTCATATAGAAATATTTTAACGCTTTACTTATTTACTATTTTCAGGAATATGTTAGACCGTTACGTGAATGATGAATTTAGGGCAGCTGATAAAAATTTTAGTAGTAGTAAGTTAATTATCTTTCCTTTTACTTTCTATGTATATGGAAAAATGTAAAATTTTAAGTATACTTGTTGGTATTTTATTTTTAATTACACGTCACTTTCTTTGTATTAAAAATTTACCAGATATATACCTTATAAAGCAGTTATATTTTAATTTCATGAATTGCAGATGCCAGTTCTGTTCTTTGCACATTACTTCTTTATTTCTTAGCTTTTTAAACTTTTATCATGTCATTTTGTGTATTATACCCCACTCTAGAAGTGGTAGTCATCAACTTGTTCATCTCCATACATTTGTCTATCAAATATTTAAGTCACACTTTTCTCAAAGTATTGCTAAACAGAATGACTTTATATTTGGTCAGCAGTTTGACAGTTTCTGAGATCAAATGCTTGAGCACTTTTCAGACTGTTTGCTGATATTTAAAATTTCTCAATATTTTGAAGTAACTGGATATGTAGTCCCACATTTCTCAAGTTCTAAACATTTTGACTTTGTAACTGTTCAGACTTGTAATGTGTAAGTGCTTTTCGGGTCTGTTGTACATCTACATCCTGTTTTTTGCTAAGTTAAATTATGAGTGGGAGTATTCTAAGCAAAACAACAGGTGCATCTTCGTGTGTATCTAAAAACTCCTTTAATATTGATAAATATGGTACATGTATTTTAAGGATACTTTTCACTTATGCCACAAGGTAAAAAAAAAGAATGTAGCATCATGCTGCATGTTCATAGACTAAGAATTTTATTGAACTTTAATAAATGATTTATCAGTCATTTTTGTGAAAGAGTGTGTTTCTTTTTTGTTGGTGATGAATTTGACTGGATTTTCTAATATGTTTATATAGCTCTTGCATTTTGCATGGAAAGAATACTGTGTCCTTTATTTTGAATGCTATGCATGTCTATGTCTTGAAAATTTGTCCATCTATGCTTAACATATGCCATGATTCTGTCAGACATGTCAAAGAACTTGATCTAAAGATTTCCTTCTTGTTAGTAACCTACAAATTGTTAATTCCAAGGATGCTCTCTGCATGGATGATTGATAATTCTTAATAACAAACATTTAAGATCATAAATATGTTATGTATTTTACATAGGTGTTTACGATTCTTCAATACAAAAGTGTTACAATAATCATCAAATTTGATCATTCTGTATGGATATAAAAAGTATATACATTCATTGGTCATATTTTACAATATTTATCACATCAACTTCATCAAGAGACAAAAAATTCTGACATAATTTTCTATTTGCAACTATTTCCTTGGATAGCCTTTCATTATATGAATAAAGTAGGTTGCTAAAATATTAATGATCATGTCACATTTTGTGGATATTGTTAAATCATTCAATTCATCTGTCTTGTGGTTAAATACTTTTAAATCATAGAAATATAAAAGTTGTCCTGCTATACTTTCAATGGAGATATCAAGATATCTTTAATTTCATGGTATAATTGTTCTTGATATCAAACTGTCATGTGATTATAATGTGTATAATTATCAGGATTAATTTAGTTGTCAAATTAATCTTTTGTACGAAGTTTTAACATTCCAATGCTGTTTTTGTTACAGGTATAAGCTTTGATGAATTTATTGATATGTACAAACGTCTGTTTTTACTTTGTCGAACGGTTGTGTCAGGAGAAGTGTCAGATATTTTACCTCAGAAATCATCACAAAAGGTAAAAGTAATTTTAAGTATTGAAATTGTATACAACTAAAGTAAAATTATTATCTCTCCTGAGTTGAAAACCTCAGTAATATCTGGATGGTGGTGGTGGTTTTGTTTCAAGATCAGAAATTATAACAAGTACAGTTTAGTACTCATTTGATACAACATATGCAATCAATGGATGACTATTAAAAAATGATATATCTCATTAATTAACAGTCAAGCAATAAAAGAAATATAATGTTGATGATACAACTAGTATTACAGTTGAGCAAAACAAAACAATATAAGAATTGTTGTGTTAACCTTGCATTCATTCTTTTTTTATAAATATGTAAAGTTGATGCTAAAAAGGATCTTTTTTGAAAACCAAAGATGTCCTCAAAGATGGGTTAACCACTTCAGTGGTCTTTTGGTAGCCTGCTCTCCTTGAATGGGGGCGGTTGTGCGTTGGATCCCATGCCAAGTCAATAAAAGTCTTTAAAATTGTTGTTTACTGCTTCTCTGCTAATCGTGTGGCATTAAGAAGTAAGAGCAAAAATTGGTCAGCTCAGAGTCAGAATAATGTGTCTTGGAAGGGTGACATGTCTTTCTTTTACCTTGTGAACTAGCTAGTTTAAAATCTGGCTCAGTACGTTGGTCTACTATAAAGCAAGCTTCATATTTATACTGCATTAACATGTTCTTGGCCTGAATATTTTATTTCATGTGAGTGGTAAATCATTTATTAATTTGTCGCTGGCTGTGAGAAAACTGTCAATTCTCATCATCATCTAATCTGTTATTTTTATGTCCACCTAGGGGCATTATGTTTTTCGGTCAGTTCGTCCGTCTGTCTGTCCCGCTTCAGGTTAAAGTTTTTGGTCAAGGTAGTTTTTGATGAATTTGAAGTTCAATCAACTTGAAACTTAGAACACTTGTTCCCTATGATATGATCTTTTAATTTTAATGCCAAATTAGAGTTTTGACCCCAATTTCACGGTCCACTGAACATAGAAAACGATAGTGCTAGTGGGCCATTCGTGTACTATTGACACATTCTTGTTACATTATCTATAAGGTATATGTTTGCTTTGTTAACTATGTGCATCAAGTCAGGACAATGACAGTCAATTGCTGCAATGATGTTCAGTGGGAAATATTTGAGCATTAGTACATTTGAAATTTCCTATTCTTACAGAGTAATAGTATCTCAGAAAACAGAAGTTATGTTGACTCTAAAAACCAAAAGAATTTACAGAACAGTAAACAGAATGATATGAGGAATGGCCCCAGATTTGGTTCTGATGGAAGTGACATAGAGGAGGACCCTTTCTTTGATGATGCTATCCCATCCAATAAATCATACAACAGAAGGTAAATAAAAATTATATTTTTAAAACATTTTGCAAAGAGATTTCTAATTTGACTTTAGAAAGAAAATACACTTTAAATTATTGGTAATTTAGTTACCTTTTCAAATGTCCACAAATTTTGAGTTTTGTAATGTTGTTTGTAACTATCTGTAGAAACATGTTTGGATGCAAAAGTTTCTCTTGTTTAAGTTTCATCTACATAAATAGCTGTTTTTGTTAATAGAAAATAATATGTTTTAACATTGTATTATTTTAATTGTAGCAAATATATATCTTTTTGTTTTTGCTTCTTACATATATAGTCACTCTAAATATATAATAAAACATCAATTCATAATATGTACATTAATCTTGTGTGTGTTGTGTGTATATCTGCCTCAGAAACTGTCAATATATACTTGATGGATTACTTTATAAAATAAAAGTATTTTTTTTATTAAAGGTTTTATGAATTTTTTTATACACTGATGAAGTATTTAATTTGGTCGCTTAAAAGTTATTTAATTGGTAAAGAAATTTCCCATATATAAGTACTATAAATTCAGAAATTTATGTGAGGTTTTTATAAATGTGAATAATGCAATTGGATACACATATCTGTATGAAGCTTGCATGAACTGACAATAATTGATCTCACAATTTCTGAATTTACAGTTTCATTTCAATGTTTGTGTGGGCCTGTGGGGGAAGCTTTTCTTAAAATAATACATGATTTTACACATGTTTCAAATTTGAAAAGGGTTACAATGGGTAACAGATAATAAATATAATTTTTTTTAAATTCAGATATATATTTTCTTATCCCCATAAAAAAAAATAAACAGAAATTATTAAAAAAAACCAGTCTGTCCTTTCTAAATTTTTTATATGTGCATATTAATGAAAGAAGACAATGTACACTGGCTTAATACCCATGCACAAATATGAAATCCATCAAGAATATTACTTCATAAAAATTTGTATATCATTTCACACCTCTGCAAAAAAGTACCTTGTAACTGCTAAACGCTTTTATATTCATCTTAATCTGTCATTGCCATTTTAGAGACATGTTTCAATTGCATAGGATATAAAAATCTTAAGTTTTGAAAATTGTTAAAAAAGTAATGTATTTTCTTTTATAACCTTTCAAAGTTTAAAAAGTATAAATTTTGAAGCCTGAAGCAGTATGTTTTTTGTTTTTTACGCAATAAAGTTTTTAGTTATGTTTTGGTATTTTAACATTGCATGCTGTATGTCATTTGATATATTCAGAATCTGCACAGATATCTTAAAACTATAAAGCAGCACAGTAAATGTTACCATTTGTATTGAAATAACCAAGTCAACAATAATTGACAAACTTAATTTTTGTGTTTTGAATTTCGTTAGTAATAGCATGAATTTATATATATCAGTTTAATACAAATTAATCATGTTAATTGCATGAAGTTTTGTACAATGATTTAATTTATATTTTTTTGTTTTTAAATTTATGTTTTTTAGATTTAATTTCATTATTTTAATGGTATATTCCATTAAAAAAAATTGAAAAGGTTATTAATTGTTTTCTTTGATGTATTTACCTAAAAATATTCTGATAGCAAGATTTTAGAGAAATCTAGAAAATGATAAACATTAATTTGTTTGTGACATACAGTATCTTATAAGTATTAATTTTCAAAGCGTTATCTTGTAATGAATTGATCTAAAGATTGGTTTCTCTCCCTCTCTTTCTGAACTTCAACCTTGTAACTTTCATAATTGTCTGGAACATTTTAATGAATTAATAATACATTTACACAGACATGCAGACCAGGAGCCAAGAGGAATTGGAAGGCCATCTCAAATCCCTGTCTACTCAAACTTCAGGAGGTCTGAGTTGTATGTGGTCCCACTAAGCCATGGTGTTTCACATATATTAACGGATTCCATTGTCATTCCTTGCAGTCAAGTTAGGCCAGGCTCATTAAATTTCCTCTTAATTTTTTTTTTATCAAAATGGAAGGGAATATATGTTCTGTTTGAATTTCAGAATCATTAAATGATTTGTACTTAGAATTTGAAATATTGAACTTTGAATTGTGCTTTAAAATCTAAACTGATTTATTTTTTCTCATATTTTTATAAATGTTTTTTTTTTTTTTTTGTTTTTTTTTTTTCAAAAATAAAAATTATATGGGTACTAAGTTTTTTCATAAGCCAGTCATTTAATTGAAATATTTGGCATTAAATGTTGGATTTCAAAAATGTAGCCCTTCATTCTGCATAGTTATCTAAGGGGAAAGAAATTAAGATTACAATATTCGGTCATGAATATATAATTGAAGCGGTGGTTGGAACGTTTTGCCTGTAAGTCTGGCCTAACAGTGCTCTATCATTTTAACACTTGTTTGAACCATTAACCCAAGCTAACATATCCATATAGAGTAGAACTGTAGATATATCTTGCCCAGATTTACATTTGATTTGCATTTAGATTTTTCATTTGCTTGAGGCTTTCTTTATAATTTGTGCTATTAAAACAATTGGTACTACACTCTATAGCCCTTTACACATTTATCCTTATACAATGGAGATTGTTATCTACTATTACCCTTTTTTGTTCTTTTTTCATACAGATACTTTCTTCTTGGTTAATGTAATCTACCTTGGCACTTATTTATTTTCTTTCAGTATAGTTTTGCTTTCAAAATATCTGGCATGGTGTCCATTCCCCTCAGTCCTTAGTGTGGTTTGATTAGCAGATTCTGATCTCATCTGTCATCCCATATACATTTTTTGTTCATTTTCATTTAATATTTTCTACTTTATTAAATGTTAAAAAATAATATGCAAAAGAACTTTAACTTCAAGAATATTTTGCATTTTATAACAGAACAACAATTATTTTTTAACTGTAGAATATTTTGTAAGAAATAGTCAAAATATTTCTTTTTAGTTACAAATTCACTGATATTTAAATTTAGTTTTGTAACTATTTATAGCGGTCTGAAATTCTTAGCAAAAACACATTCTATTGATCACCACTTTTGATTGGAGCATGTTAGTTGACTGTCTCTCTTTGATGGATTCACATTTACTGGTAGTGTCTCTGACTTGTAGCTTTCATGTTTGGACATGGAGAATAGTTCATTTAAATGGTACAAGAGAGATCTATACAAGTTTTAAATAATATGCTTATGCAAAGTAACAGTGATATTCATTAGATAGTAAACCTGTTATATTTATGTATTTAATAAATCTTGTATATCATGTTTTATCATTTGTGTATAATATGTGTATTTAACAAAGATATGTGTAATGTTAAAACCAGTACATGTTTATAATAGTGTATGTGTGATTCCCATTCTTAGTATATATATATATATATTATATGATGAAATAGTATCTACTTCATTTTTTGTGTGTATTTTTTGTTCTGTTCTTTTTAATGATAGTTGAATAAATGTATGAGAGTTTTGTTTTTGGCATTAGGAGCAAAATGACAAATATCTTTAACACCTAAATATGAATTAACATAGTTCTGAATGTTTGTCCTTAAATGTGCAGATATCTATATTGCTCACACCAAAAATTGATCACTAGCCAGGTATATTACATATTCCAAAGAAGAAAAAGTTATTAAATTGACCTAAAAGTTTAATAACAGTTTTGCTTACTAAAGATATTCAGTTTTTATATGAGATAAAGTGCTTTTAACATATTTAATCAATCAGTATTACATGTTTTGATGATCTTTAAAAAAAATGCCTCATATTTTAATAATCTTCTTACCTTCCCCCTTTTCAGAAATAAAGAATTCATTCAAGAAAAATAGGAAAGTTAGCTTGTGTCTTAAAGACTGTATGGATTTAACTAGAGAAGGATAATTTAATAGTCTGAGTTAAATTTATTCTCAAATATTATAAACTTGGAGCAATTTAGAGATATATTAAAAAGACAAATCTAGTGTTGAAGACTTATGTTGACCCTTAGATGTCTTTTTTTGTGTCCTAGAGTGGTTGATTCATTCACCTATACCCCACATCTCTCATTATTAAATTTATAAGATAAAGGGATATTTTGGGGATGCAACTAATTTTTTATTGATCTTTATGCTTGCAGATATGTTTAATGCCTTATGCATGTATAAGAATAACTCTTTTTTTATATTTGTATTTTTCACTTACAAATAAATTCATTCAAAATCTTGTACTGGTGTTAACACATACATACAATAACAAGTTATTTTTCCCTATGAATCTGCTTAAGCAACCTATTTTGTAATTTCCTACTCCTTTAGAATTGAATTCATGAGATTTATTTTGCTTTATTCCCTGCATTTTCCTCTTTTTATTTACTGTCAGTTTGTATGATCATTCAGAAGATTTTTATTTTGATTCTAAAATGTAAATAAAGATTTTTCACATATCTTGAAAATTCTTGTGAAAATAGTTGTTGATGTATTGTTTATAACGATGATTTGAATGTTTGTCATTTTTCATATAGAATAAAACATTTTGCACGTTTGTTTGCAGCATTAACAATGTATATAATCTAGACTAAAGTTAAATATCTTATTGAATGGTCATATATTTTTAATTAATTTCTATCATAATTCTGTCAAAACCCCTCACAGTAACATCATTTTGATCGCAAATTCAAAGAATATTTATAAAATCCTATTAAAACCTTTTACAAACATTTCATTTTTTAAGCGTTGAACAGTCTAAAAGTAAAGATACTCGACAAAATGGTACAAAATCTCCTGGTTATGGAACTGGTGCTTTGTCTTCACTTCAAGGTCTTCCTGCCTTAAATCAAAAGTCACCACGGAAGTCTCGTAAGTGCAAGTTATGTTAGAATTGTTTATTTAATGAGTATCATTCATCAGCTAAGACAATTTTTTTGTTCCAGTCAAAGTCTATCAATAGAGGAAAAAGTAGATTTCTTTGAACGAAAAAGAAAGATTTCATATTGTTTTCCTATGTTTACTTACAAATGATTAAAATGACAACTCTTAATATGGATATATGTTATATTTTTAGATAATGTTGTTGTTTTTTTTCTTCTTGACAGCTCGAGTTCAACAATTAAGTAATGAATTAGTTAGACTTTTGTTTTTGTTTGCTTGCTAAATGTACTATGATTTGCACAGCTTTTAAGTCAAGTGAAAACAGTATATTTAACTATATCACTATGGTTACAGTAAATCAAAATAAGAAATAAGATCCATGTTGAATTGAGATAGTTGTACACAAGTTCCAGTTAATATTTCACATGTCCATCACATTCACAATACACTGGGTGCTTTAAACATGTTGTCTTCAGAATTATTTTTTTTCAAATTGTATTAAACGTGTATTATCTTATTTAAAGTTACGTAACATTTGAATGTTAATGTTTTTCTGAATATAAAGATACATGTGTATAAACTCTTCGATATTTAAATATTTTATATTAAAATTACTAATTTTGTCTCACCTGCTGCAGTGGTATTGCTATCATATGTTTTTCCACTCCTGATTTTAAGCGTTTAGGTAAGGTCCATTTAAGGAATGACTAATATTTTTTCTGTCTATGAAGAAATAACATAAAAAATGTGGTGCACACTGTATAACCTGCATAGTGGGTTATTTAAAAGTGTGCACCACATTTTTTAGGTTATTTCGAATAGACAGAAAAAATATTACAGTCAGTCCTTATAATTTAATTTTAAATTCCATTTTTAAGGAGTAAATCATGAAAAAACGTTGATGACGTCACGGTCACACTACAAAATTATGTCTATAAGCTGATAGACAAAAAACTTTCAGCCAACCAGAAGACATGTTACATCCAAAACTAAATTATTTCAGAATATATAATTTGGACGGGTCCATTTGCTTAAGCATCCATCCAACTCAATTCCGTGTAGTATTGAAGGCTAAGTTCCCTCAGTAGTATTGAAGTAACCATTTAAATTATGTACCAAGTTTTCTGATTGAATGAGTTTATAATCAGTACTTTATCAAACCTTTGATACTTGGTATTCTGTTGCATTTGTATTCCTGTATTTCAGCTTCAAGCAGCTTAAGTACATTAACTAAACCTTGATACAGTTGGCTATATATCCCTAATGATTGGAATTTATTACATTGATTAAATGTAAGGTTTCCAGTATGGTTTGATTTTGAGGATATACTTACAACAAACCATTGATATTTGGTATATGGTTGCATAAGCATTGGTGCATTATATAAAAAAAAAAATACATTAAATATATAAGCAATAAACTTTGAAGTCTTAAATTATTTTATTATTTACTTATTAAGAAGAATAATTTCTGATATACCATTGCTGAAATGCTATCAAGTACAATAAGTCCAAGAACAATAATTTTACAGGAGATTGTGAGGCTTAACTGCATGTTGCTCTTGCTACAATGAAGTTATTTCATTGTTATGTGTTTTAATGAAACGAGTTTCAGGAGTTAATATGCAGTAATATGCAGTAATATGGCAAATTTCTGTTTCTGATTTTGCTGCATAGCAGGTGAAACATATCTCTGTTAACAGTTCTATTATTTTACTTGATCAATGTACAATGCAATATGGAAAAAAAATGATAGTGTTTGTATATTAAAATTTAATATCATGATATTGTAGAATTGTTATTGATTAAGAAATATTCAATTGAAAAGAATTTAATCAGAAAATTTTAAACTATATTAAAACATTTTCGATTCTTAAAGAAGCATTGGCATACAATTTTTAATTCATAAATCTGTGGAAAAATTCATGTAGAGGTTTGCTGATGACTGACTGCATTAGAAATGGCAGAATGGAGAAACATATTACTTGTACTCATACAGGTATAAGTACATGGCATTGTATGAGTACATCACATTGTATGAGTAAAAGTAATAGTTTTGGCAAGTGGCTAGTGGTAGCACTGTTTTTATTTATCTCTTTACAGTTGAGAGTGACACCGAGGAAAACCTACGTGCTATGGATCGGGGTATGGCAGATCTGGGATTAGAAGGTGGTGGGTGCACTTAACTTGTCTAGCCTCTAATATAGCACAGATAATTCACAAACCTTCACCCAAATTGTTTGGCACATCAGTAATCTATGAAAATGATCACTGATACAAAATATCTTATAACTTTATTGCTGTTTACCTCTATCTTATTAGAAAAAGAACTGAATTGACTTGTGATAATTTGAAATTCAAACAAACACAAAAATTGATTGTGTTTATTGTCTCTAATTGAAGTTTTTACCGTTCTGAATTTCAACATATGAGAGCAAAGAAGAGAAGCCAGGTCCAAAATATGCTATACATGTATATACATTTGAAGTTAAATCCTCAGAAAATTTTTAAGATAAATACAATACAATAAAAAATTCATCAGATTTAATCTGAATTTTTAGATAGTTTATTAGAATTTTTAACTGATGGGTTATAGGATTTATTTTATTTGCTAGAAACCTACCTTATCAGACCCAATGGCAAACTAGTGTAGAAAAACAGCGCTTATAGAAAAAAATACTTTGTTGAAATTTTTAGTATTTTCGTAATGCATACTATTTTTAGAAAAATCACCCGCTTTTAGTGATAATATAAGGATAGTTAATGTTTCAAAAACCTTATTTTAAAATGGACAATTGTTTCCTGTCCATCCCTTGTACCATTTCAGAATGAGTTTTTCGTGAAGATCTTTAAAAAAAAAATGAAATTGAATTTATATTACAATGGATATCAGATGATTTTGAACTCCATTTATTTATTCTTAATCTTTCTGATTAATCAAGGGATTTTACCTGTACACTTGTTCACCTTCTTTAGCACACCCTTGATGAGTTAAACCATCAGACATACCAATTTATTTATTCAAAATTGTTTGTCCTGGTTTCTAAATCTATGAGATATTTAGTATGAAAGGTCAATCCATAACTATTTCAAAGGTCATTGATATAATTGTTTGTTTCTCTAGCTTTAGTTTAAATTTTAACTATGCTGTGTGCATTATTTCTAAATGTTTGAAAACTGCAAAAGTCATTTTTAAAGATACCCTTTCTCCACCTTTTTAATTGACCAAATTGTGTGAAGACTTTCAACAAAATGGATTTTCACACTTAATCCAACTTTTACTGAACTTTTTTTTTTTCATTCAATGGAAATAACTTTAATCTGGCACTAAAACTTAATCAAAATAATTACACAATTTCAAACCAAAAAAAAAGAATATGTTTCAAAAGATCATTGTCTGTCATTTTTTCCAACAAATATTTCAGTCACACTTTTCTCAGGTTCTACCAATCAAAATGATTTTATATTTTGTCAGCAGCTTGATTGTGATGACTTGTAATGTGTTAGCCTTTTTTCTGATCCGTCAGACATCCTTTTTGTTTGCAGATTCTTTAAATTTTTCAAAATGTTAACTGAATTTAATACTTTCGTCTCACATTTCTCCAGTACAATGGAACAGAATTACTTCATATCTGGTCTTCAGCTAGACTGGGATGACTTTTAGGATCTGTCAGACACCTTCCTCCTGTTTTCGATACTTTGAATTATGAGAGGGGTATGCTTAGAATGAAAATTGCCTGCAAATTATTTTTTTTTTTTAAAGAAAGGTACATTAATACAGTAATAGAATTGACAATGTACATTTAAAAAAATAAAAACTACCTTACTAAAACTGTTTTTAAAGTAATAAAAGACAAATATTCTTAAAGTTTATTTGGTCTAAGTAATGAGCAATTTTAATTGATTTCATATTTTGACTACATGTATATATTTTTCAGATTTTGATTATGATGATGACTTCCAAAGCTCAGGGTAGGTATTTACCAGTGGAGTATATTTATTTTTGTAATGCATACAATGAACTTTAAAGAGCAACAGAGATAAGATATAAAATGACAAATTTAAGGACAATAGATGGATAAACTGTTGCTATGTTCATAATGAGGAAAAAAGGAGATTCCTCGTCATATGTGAAAGAACGATAAAGTGCATGAAAATTTTATAAACTAATGTCAGTCTTAAGAGAAATTTTCAATGCAAAGTGGCATCCAAATTAATACAAAAAATTAAAATTAAATGAACATGAGTTTGTGTCACCAATTCAGTGGGACTGACAGTGTTCTCCCCAGGATTTTTGGATAGCACCAGGGTAACACGTGTGGACAGCTTGGTGAAATATTTCATACAATCAGTTGTGTCGCGTCGTGTCGCTTAGCTCTATTTGTAGTTACTGTAGTTTTTATGTCTCTTGTTTTGTTTTAATACTGTGGTACTGTGTTATGTAGACATTGAGTCAGAAAATTATTGGTAAAAAAGAAGTAAATCAAAAAACAGTTTGTATACTTTAATATTTTTTAAAAATAAATAAATTATGATTCATAATAAAATATTCATCTGAATTTAAAGTAATTAAACCTTTTATGAAATCCATGATCAATAAAAATAAAATAGCATTCAAAAGAGAACAAAAATGTTCAATTTAAAAAACTTTCTAGTTTCTAGAAAGAAATTTGTTGTATGTGAAAGGCTTCCTGTCATAAGAAGATATATAATTAACAAGAACAATTGCAAATATTGTTTTATTATTTGAACCAGTTTCTTTCCTAGATTTTAATAAAAAGAAATTTTTCATAAATTTAAGAAAATTTTTCCATAGATTTCATGTAAATATTAACCTTTCTTGTCTTTGGTGATAATAAAACATAGATACAGACTTTATACTGCACTGAAATCTAAATCTTTATTTGTCATGACCTATTTAAAAAGAATTCCTAAATCTATAAATTTATCTTTGGTCTATAGATCTATAAGTAACCATATTCAATGTTAACAACAAAGTCTCCCTATTTTCCCGCCTAAATGACAGGAAGTAGATATAGATTTAACATGTGCTTATGGATAAAATTTGCAAAATTACTTCTGTTATTCATTAATTATGGATATAGATATCCAGTTTGAAGGTACAGTCATGTATTTTATTTATAAAATAGAATAGATTGCCATTAATTGTAAATTAACTTGAATATTCTATGTGAACTAACTGGGTCATGTGATATGTACAGTTTGAAACCCGACTATCATGCAATAACTATGTCATAATTAAAGATAATATTGGCCATGGTTTAATCAGAAACATATATTACTATACTATAAGAATTGAGAAATGTATAATTGTCAATAATACATAATGAGCCACCTTTATGATGTACAAAAAATGAACCTATCGAGTCAAGACACTGTTTGTGTACAAAGTATTTGCCGACTTGTCACAGGTCAGTGCTTGGATAGTGAGTGAAGCCATAAAATAGTTATCTGTGATCATAAAGTTATGATCTCTTAATTAAAACACAAAAGAATCATGTTACAAGTGCATAGATTAAATCCAATCAACAAGGTTAACCTCATAAGGTAAATTGATCACGTGGTGTAAACAATCTGTGTTGAACTGGTTCCAACTGGTCAAATTTCACCTGGAATTTTATACAGCACGGAAAAGATTTAACAAGTCGTTTAAAACTTAAACCAATTTACGATTTTTTAACTGAAAATTTAGCACCACTGAGAAAAATTATACATCGGGTTAGAACGATACCACCACAGTAAAAAATTATACATCGCGGGACCGCGGTCCTTTAAGGGCCTGGGGAGAACACTGACTGAAACAAAAGAAGTGACTAAAATATTTTCTATTTCATACATTAGCATGATCAATTAGTATTATAACAGCAAGGTGTTAATAGAAAGGACTCGTACAGAAAACATATTTTAATCCAACTCAGTTATGGGGTAAAAAATGAAACCAAAATTGGCGATTATGTTTAGAATGGGAGAAGTGTTGAATATGTAATATGTATATTAGATATAGAACAATCTTTTGAACAATTAGATCTTAAAGTGTATTAATAATAATACATTTTTCATTTCAGGCATAGTATGAGTAAAAATAGTCCCAGAACAGCACGGTCTGAACAGAATGGTAGTATTGTAGAGGAAATAGAAGAGGAGATCGATGATGATGATGTCTCCATTGAAGCTGATGATTTATTAAGAAGTGAAAGAAGTGGGGTAAGGGACCTAAATTGTAGCTATCAGAAATATAATCAATTTATAGATTATTTATAATCTGTCCTAAATAACTTGGTGATCATTTTTAATCTGTTTTTTTGTCATACATGTAATTCATGAGACCAATTTTTGTGGATTTTTTTAGGGGGAATGTCACGAATTGAAGTATTCAATGAAATTCTATTTAGGTTTAATACTTTGGTATTAGCAAATGATAAAACTGCTAAATAAGGTGGAAATAGATAATGTTTGTCCATCCACAAGAATTGATACAAACCAAAATAAATGAATTCACATAGACTGTTTAATTGTTCTGATAAGGTAACCAATAAAAGGTTAAATGATGATGTTGAATTTTAAAGTAAGGTTATCGGGGGAAAACTAAGTCTATACATTTATCAAAAAAACTTTTTTTTCCTTTGAAGCAAGAAATTTAATTTTGTTTAACCTGTCATAATATCATAATTGGATCATTACTGCCAAAATTCTTGATCTTGAGTATGAGCGTGTGTAATAGTATTGATCTTACAATTATCCATATACAATTGAGGAGATGGGTCTGAAAACTTAAGGACAAGGATGATCATAACTACACGTCATCCTATGACCTTCAACATTGAGCATAACTCATACTATAAAAGACACTGAAATGACAAAATGTGAACCAATTCAAAAGAGAAACAAACGTCCTGGTTTACACTTAAACAATAAACAAAGATAATTAAAACAGACATCAACCAAGACAACCACTAGATCACAGGACTTTCGCACAAAGAATGTCACAGTGCTAATCATCCTTGAGAGAGCTCAACTGTCCCCCTAACCTGGGACAGTACTATAACTGCACAACACAAGAACAAACTGTAAAAAGTAGTTAGAATGAGATGACTAATCAGATCTGTCATAGGTCAATCCAAAAGAGACCACTTTGACTTCTATCACTTAAACAAAACCACTGATTATTTCAAAATTTAATAAGTTTGATGTGTTTGTTTTTCAGTGTGATGATTTAACAACAGACAGAACAATCTCTCAACATGATGGATTTGATTATATGGAGGATGTCCAGTCACCTTGAAGAACTAGTCTTAGCATCTGTGATAAAGTCTCAAACAACACATGGGCCAAAATAGGACTTATTGTTTAATATATAAGAAAATGTATCGTAGCCACTCTGCCTATTATGACATCATACTACATTTTACATGTATGATAATTATCATCATATGAATCCATTTGGTGATGGTAAAAGCATTGACATAGTTTCTGTTGATTTCAAACACTTTGGTTATTAGTAACATACAATTCATAGATAAAATACAATGCAGTCTGTTTAAAAATTGAAAAAATTTATAAAATAAGAAAAATCAGTGATAAATTAAACAAATTAAGGAGAAATAGTAAGAAATATATTGCTTTTATTTTGTGTATTACTAATATCTTTTAAGTAGTATAAATTTACCAGACATAACTAAAAAATTATATAAGGTAGAAAATTATCCTATATTGGTATTAGATTAGACCTTCGTTAATTATAATTTGTTATCTAATTATTTCATGTTTGGGAAGGCCAGTACATTCACATAATATCAATATCCAAAGTTATATATCTTGGATCCATTAATGTCATCAATAGAAAATGATACAATTATAAGGTATAATTCTTTCTTATTGATTCATAGAATTTTTGGTGAATGTATACAAACCTTTTAATCAATTATTATTATTATTTTCTGCATTGAATTTACTCTTGTAGATAATGTTTTCTGGATGATCATCATGATTAAAAAAATGTCTAGGAACAAATAAAAAATATATCCTCTTAAAAAATGTTTTGCAAAGTAGTAAAATGTACCATGATGTAGTGTTCATTAAAATGTCAGCTTTTGGTTCAGATAAAATTATGTTTACATAAAAAAAAATGTGAACACTGATTGTCTTGAAGAAAAAATTTAAAGTGGAGAAATTCATTTATAGTTGTGTCATTTAAAAACTAGTTCAATTGCCAAAGCAAGAGACAGTCTCAATTTATTATTTCTGCTGAAATATTTCTCATGTAGAATTGTCGTTTTTTTTTCTCTTGAATCATTACTGCTATTTATATTTAAATACAAAAAAACTCATCTATGAAACTCAAAAGAATACTCAGGAAATAATCATTTAACGTAGCATCTTATACTTAATAACATACTCAATGTCCTGCAATCAGTCAAAATTGCACTCATTTTTCTAAAAAGAAGGTCGGTTGATAATGTGAAAACTTACAAACCTGTTGTAAATCAATTATTCTTGCATCATTTAATCATTTCAATAAACAATACATTTTTAAATTTTAACTTTTCTTTAGTTTAGAAATTGTATGATTTATAACTAATAATCAGCTTTCTTACAAATAACTTCACATAGTTTTATCAAAGTGCTAACATTCTATATGATGCCATCTTTATTGGAGTATTGCGCAGCTGAGAAATAAATGCCATAATTACATTATTTATTTGTGAATGTTTATGCATGCATTTCATCCGTCCACACATATTGAACACATGAATATATAATATACATTTCAATAATTTTGCATTCTCATGTTTTGTTAAATATATAAGGAGAATTATGTGCTGAAACAGAAAGATTTTTCTTTTGTAGATTTTATGAGAGAAGCAATTTTCTACATCAGTTAAAGTATTGAAAGTTTTCAAATTTATTTCATTTGCTCATACATGAAGTTTACTTTTTTTTCTAATAATGATAAATAGTATCTTTTTATGTCTGATAAAGAACAACAGTCACTCATGTAAATCAATCTTAGATATTTCAATGTGCATGTCGTCCAAGATATCAGAGAGCAAAGCCAGACTCTTTGTTTGATAATTTGTAAGTAGGTAAAATTTGAATTGATATGCAATGTTTTTACTTTCAAAGGTACTTTGTACTCCGATATTTTTTTTTTTGAGAACTGTGTTCTAAAGTTGATTTGTTGTTCTGTTAAGCATAAACACTTCAGAAACATTTTTACTAACATTCAGCACAATCATGAGTAGATGTGTGAGAGTGTGTGAGATAATTTTACATTTTGTACATATGTCTTATTTTAATTTGTTAACTATTTTATGATGAGAATATATTTATAATAAAATATATACACATTAGTTTCAATCAATTATTTGCATATGCCATTACTATCCAATTTTGGCACACCTTGGTGGTTTCATGGTTAGGTGTTCACCTGGAGTTTGGGAGTTAGTGGGTTCTACTCCAGTCTTGAGTCAAACCTAAAACTTAAAAAATTAGAATTTGCTGCTTCTGCACTAAGCAGGCAGCAATAAGTAGTAAAGAGCAAAGAATGGTTGACCCAGAGTTAGAATATTTTGTCTGGGTAAGGATATCTGTCTACCTGTGCAGACTGTTGCCTTGTGAACTAGCATGTTAAAAATCCTGCTCAGTGTGTTTTGTACAAGGCAGGGTTCAGATTCATTTCAAATGTTTTTGTCCTAATTTGTATGTAATATTTGCCACTGGGTGTTAAACCTAGTCATTATCATTCATTTTTGTCGAGCCTTCGACTTTTGTCGAAAAAGCGAGACATAGCGATCCTACATTCCGTCGGCGTCGTCGTATTGGTCGGCGGCGTCCACAAATATTCACTCTGTGGTTAAAGTTTTTGAAATTTTAATAACTTTCTTAAACTATCCTGGATTTCTACCAAACTTGGACAGAAGCTTGTTTATGATCATAAGATAATATTCAAAAGTAAATTTTGTTAAAAAAAAATTCCATTTTTTCTGTATTTTACTTATAAATCGACTTAGTTTTTCTGCCAAGAAACATTACATTCACTCTGTGGTTAAAGTTTTTGAAATTTTAATAACATTCTTAAACTATCCTGGATTTCTACCAAACTTGGAAAGAAGCTTGTTTATGATTAAAAGATAGTATCCAGAAGTAAATTTTGTAAAAAAAAATTACATTTTTTCCGTATTTTACTTATAAATGGACTTAGTTTTTCTGCCAGTTAACATTACATTCACTCTGTGGTTAAAGTTTTTAAAATTTTAGCAACTTTCTTAAACTATCCTGGATTTGTACCAAACTTGGACAGAAGCTTGTTTATGATTAAAAGCTAGTATCTAGAAGGAAATTTTGTTAAAATTTTGTTCAATTTTTTCCGTATTTTACTTATAAATGGACTTAGTTTTTCTTCCAGTTAACATTACATACAGTCTGCAGTTTAAGTTTTTAAAACATTTATTAGATTCATAAACTATCCTGGATTTGTACCAAACTTGGACAGAAGCTACTTACAATCAAAAGATGGTATAAAAAGGAATATTTTTTTTAATTTTTTTCCTCATTTTTGTTGAGCCTGCAATTAACAGCAAAAGTAGGCGAGACACTGGGTTCCGTGGAACCCTTACAAATTTTTGGAAAAAGAGGAAAACATTTTATTTGGAAATTTTAATTTAATATTAAGATGTTTGCTGATGTCCACTTAAGCCTCCACTCACTTTGATTTTTCCTTTTTAACATTATTGCTAATACTTGAGAAAGTTTTAAAGATAATTACAGAAAACTGCTATTTTGTTGATAAATTAAATTACATATTCATACGTTTTGTTTGAAGGGCCCTCTGTCCCTAGGTATTAATATAATAGTAATGCTCTATCTTTAAGCACATTGGGCCTGGTCTACAACAGCTGAAACAAATATACAATAAAAGACCAAACAGTACTGTTTAGTTTTATAAAAGTCCAATTCTTTGGTGTTGAGCAACACACTAGCCACCCGAGTCAAATGAACCACATTTTGACAAAGAATCCTTGTAATATTTAAAACTGGTGTTTACCCTTGTGCCCATCGATCAACCAATATGCCCACCAATAGGAAACTTAAGTTTCATAGGGAAATCTTTGGAATACATATACAGTAAAATAACAACTATAGGTCACCGTACGGTCTTCAATAATGAGCAAAGCCCATACCGCATAGTCAGCTATAAAAGGCCCAAAAATGACAAATGTAAAACAATTCAAACAAGAAAACTCACAGCCTGATTAATGTACAAAATAATGAACGAAAACAGTAACAAACGACAACCACTGAATTACAGGCTCCTGACTTGGGAGAGGCACATACAGAATGTGGCGGGGTTAAACATGTTAGCGGGCGCCCAACCCTCCCCCTAACCTAGGACAGTGGTGTAACATTACAACATATGAACAACAAACTATAAATATCAGTTGAAAAGGGCTTATCTCATCAGATAGATACAAAGCACAAAAACAAGTAACAAAAACACAGAGTGGACGTGGCAGGGTACATCCCCACAACAAAAAGACACTAAGTACAGATCTGAGAGTACTCGCAGTTACTGACAGCTAGTTCAAAGCCAATAACAACTAATAAAAAAAATCATGCATCTAAGACTGAAATATCGATCAGTACACATCCAACATCCAATGGATTTAGTGTAAAGACGTCATAAACAGTCAGAGAAGCAATGCCAAGATACAGTAATCGACAGATTGTAGCCCATTCTAGCCCACTTCTCTGCTATCTAATTTCGAGATGTTCAAATTTACTTGATGTAGTTAGGACAGACCCAGGGTTTGCATATTCGTGATGATTTATATATGCCATATTTGTATACGACCGCAAAAATTAGAAAGTTTTCTATTTTGCGAAAGTATATTTGGTATATGGGATCCTTACAAGACAGACAGGGTTCACCTGACCTCTACCTCACATGGATCAGTGAATAAGTTTTTGTGGTCAAGTATTTATCTCAGATACTATAAGCAACTATATTTGGTGTATGCAATGATTGTAAGGTGGACATGTCCAACTGGCAGGTTTCATCTGACCTTGACCTTGTTGTTTTGTACATTACGATTAAGGTTGTGTTGGTCGTTGTTGTTTTGTATATAACGAGTAAGTCTGTGTTGTTCGCTGTTGTTTTGTACATAACGAGTAAGGCTATGTTGTTCGTTGTTGTTTTGTACATTACGATTAAGGTTGTGTTGTTCGTTGTTGTTTTGTACATTACGAATAAGGCTGTGTTGTTCGTTGTTGTTTTGTACATTACGAGTAAGTCTGTGTTGGTCGTTATTGTTTTGAACATAGTGAGTAAGGCTGTGTTGTTCGTTGTTGTTTTGTACATAATAATTAAAAGTAAGGATCTGTTGTGTGTTTTTATTTTGCAACTGGGCGTTAAGCAACCAACAATCAATCAATGTTGTGTGTTCTTGTACATAATGAGTAAGGCTTATTGATCGTTATTGTTTTGTACATAATAAGTAAGGTTGTGTTGTAAATAATGACCAAGGCTGTGTTGTTTGTTCGTTGTTGTTTTTCCAAAATGAGTCAGGTTGTGTAGTTCGTTGTTGTTTTTTACATAATGACATGAATGAGTAAGACTGTGTTGCATGTTCGTTGTTGCTTAATACATAACGAGTAAGGTTGTGTTGTTCGTTCGCGTTGTTGTTTTGTACATAATGAGTAAGGTGATGTTTTTCGTTGTTGTGTGTTGTTCATAACGAGTAAGATTGTGTTGTTCATTAATTGTTGTTTGTCTTTGGTGTACCTCTATTTTCTCGAAGAGTCGGTTGTTTGTGCTTGGTGTTGTCTGTTGTACTGTCTAATATTTTAGGTCATTTTAAAAAATCTCACATTGTGTCGAGCGCTGATATTTTACGAAAGCTATTAGCAGAAAACCCAATAATCTGTTCGACGTGCTATTTCTAGTCTTTTTTTTTTATCTCGCTTAGACAATATTTTTACGTTTGAAAAAAGAAAGCTTGATAAGGTTTGTCTGTGTCAACTCTTCATAAAACTGCATATCACGGCTTTGTGACGTCAAATACGTTGACCCGGCCTTAATAAAAAAAAGCTTGACAAAAAGCTTCATATTGTGACTCGCAGCTGATATTTTACGATATCAATATATATGCAGACAACCTGATAATCGGTACCTCTCATATTGGGACGTCGTTGATAACTTCTCGAACCTCACAAATTAAATTTTGATTCATTAATGACAAAACCAATGTTAGAACCGATGAAGACAATATTCAAATATCTTAATACAGAGTTGAATTGATGAACTTTCCGAATAAGTTTATTCAAAGGATCAATAGGTTTACATACATGGATCATATATCTTAATTTACGGGCCCTATAAACAACATCGCCGTAAAAATTAGGATATCCCATTTGTATATATACCAAAGTAAAATTGAGAATGGAAATGGGGAATATGACAAAGAGACAACAACCCGACCAAAGAGGAGACAACAGCCGAAGGCCACCAATGGGTCTTCAATGCAGCGAGAAAATCCCGCACCCGGAGGTGGTCCTCAGCTGGCCCCTAAATAAAATTGTGTGCTAGTTCAGTGAAAATGGACGTCACACTAAACTCCAAAACATATAAATGAACTAAAATTAAAAAAACATAATAGACTAACAAAGGCCAGAGGCTCCTGACTTGGGACAGGCGCAAAAATGCGGCGGGGCTAAACATGTTTTGTGAGATCTCAACCCTCCCCCTATACCTTTAGCCAATGTAGAATAAAGAAACACATAGCAATACGCACAATAAAACTCAGTTTAAAAGAAGTCCGAGTCCGATGTCAGAATAGGTAACAAAAGAAACTAAGCAAAATGACAATGATACATAAATGAACAAAGGACTACTAGCAGTTACTGACATGCCAGCTCCAGACCTCAATTAAACTGATTGAAAGATTATGTCTTCATCATATGAAAATCAAGTACAATCCCTCCCGTTAGGGGTTTAGTATCATACCATCATAAAATATATGAGAAGAACATAACAAAGTGTCTATATGTACAGCCAAACTTTCAAACCAACTCCTTGTAATTATGAAAGAATTTAGAAAAGGTTTTATATAATTTGTGGTAAGGAAACCCCTCACAATAACGTACCAGTGATACATAGATTACGTCCATTGAAATCTTTTAAAAGCGTCACTACAGACATGGGCATAGCAAACAATAAGTGTAATACTACAGACATGGGCATAGCGAACGATAGTGTAATACTACAGACATGGGCATAGCGAACGATAAGTGTAATATATACAGACATGGGCATAGCGAACAATACGTGTAATACTACAGACATGGGCATAGCGAACGATAGTGTAATACTACAGACATGGGCATAGCGAACGATAGTGTAATACTACAGACATGGGCACAGCGAACGATATAAATGTAATACTACAGACATGGGTATAGCGAACGATAAGTGTAATATTACAGACATGGGCAGCGAACGATAAGTGTAATACTACAGACATGGGAATAGCGAACGATAAGTGTAATACTACAGACATATGGGCATAGCGAACGATAAGTGTAATACTACAGACATGGGCATAGCGAACGATAAGTGTAATACTACAGACATGGGTATAGCGAACGATAAGTGTAATACTACAGACATGGGTATAGCGAACGATAAGTGTAATACTACAGACATGGGTATAGCGAACGATTAGTGTAAAACTACAGACATGGGCATAGCGAACGATAAGTGTAATACTACAGACATGGGCATAGCGAACGATACGTGTAATACTACAGACATGGGCATAGCGAACGATAAGTGTAATACTACAGACATGGGTATAGCGAACGATAAGTATAATACTACAGACATGGGTATAGCGAACGATAAGTGTAATACTACAGACATGGGCATAGCGAACGATAAGTGTAATATACACACCGTAAGAAAGGGACAAAAGAAGAAAAATTAACCCAAAAATAGTAAAAACCGTCTCTTTTGTCGTAAATACTACAGACATGGGCATAGCAAACGATACGTGTAATACTACAGACATGGGCATATATACCGAACGATAAGTGTAATACTACAGACATGGGCATACCGAACGATAAGTGTAATACTACAGACATGGGCATAAGGAACGATTAGTGTAATACTACAGACATGGGCATAGAGAACAATAAGTGTAATACTACAGACATGGGCATAGCGAACGATACGTGTAATACTACAGACATGGGCATAGCGAACGATAAGTATAATACTACAGACATGGGTATAGCGAACGATAAGTGTAATACTACAGACATGGGCATAGCGAACGATAAGTGTAATATACACACCGTAAGAAAGGGACAAAGGAAGAAAAATTAACCCAAAAATCGTAAAAACCGTCTCTTTTGTCGTAAATGTTTGTATAACTTTTCCCACATGAATATACAAGTTGCCCCAAACATTAAAAACATATTATTATTATTACAATAGTCGTTCAGATTTGCGGCAGCTACCCTGTAGAAAAATCTTCCGGATCATCCGAGTCAGGATGGGAAATAGTTTTTTTTTTGCATTTCAAAATCTTGATTCTGTCCTTGAATGGTCAGTTAGCCGAAGTGTAACTGGTTCATGTTGTCAGTTTGTAATAATTTTGTCAGCTCTGCAACTCTTATCTATTTATTCATAAATTATAAATTGCTTATCAATGATTTTATTAATTCATTAGTTTAGCTAGTATGACAGGTTTTAGCTTTCTAGAGCCTATAATGGTTTACTTTTATAAATTTTTACTTGGATGGAGAGTTGTCTCATTGGCACTCATACCACATCTTCTTATATCTAGCTTATTTTAAACTTTTGATTTTTTACACGCGCTCGGATGTTCCAGGCCGTGAGATGTCCGCAATAGAGGTCTAGCCACCGTGATGGATGCTGTTGATTTGTTACAGTTCCGTGTAAATTTTAAGAAAGTTTGCTATAAATCTTTTTATATAGTTCATGGATGTATTCAGCTGTTTGTTTTATATGTGCATGATGCTTTGTCACGTTTATTTTGTGTTTGTATACGTTTTTATCAAGATTTGGTACCGTCGAAAAAGCTCATCAAAGCTTTAATGTACTATGTTGAATTCAAATAAGGATTTATCTGTCTATGTCTATTGCGGCATCGAAGGACAAAGAATTGAACCAAATGTATATACAATTAAAACCGATCCGTGATGTCTCCTGAGACTGAGACTACTATAATTGTGTTATGTATGGCAAGCCGTTTTTATATTTTTCCAATTTTCGAGATATTGTATATCTCTTTTTAACTAATAAGATATCTTATAAACTATACAAGATATCTCATAAATCAATTAATCAAAATATATTCTTTAAAAAGATAAAAGATATAGGATAACTTGTAAAATGTACAGATTAGAGAATATGGTAAAAAAAAAACACGGAATAAAGAGCAAAAAAATAAAAAAATAAATAAAGAATAGAGAACAGTAGGCAAAAATAATAAAGTATAGAGAATAATGGGTTTCAAAAATATAAAGAATAGAGAATAATGGTTAAAACAAGTTGCTTTCTTTAAAAAAAGAAATGCAATCGTAAACCCAAATGCTTGTTTGGCATTAAATATCAGATAATTGTTTAATAAAGATGTATAAGAACTAGAAACTGACATTGATTGTTTACTTAATGTAACTTTTGTTCAATGTGGAGTGAAATATTCTTGTTAAAGGAATCATTTGTTTATCTCCTCTCTCCCTAAAGACAACATGCTAAGTCACCCACTGGATGTTCCATTCTAAGGTGCTGGTTTTTTTTTTAGAAAAGAGTTAGTTTTCAGGCTAAAGTTCAAATGCAAATGTGAAGAAATTTAATCAATGAATCATGATTATTTGTTTTTGTAGCCAGTTTGAAAATAGTTAAAAATTCTAAGCTGCACACTTTTTTTTTTACATATATATATATATATATATATATATATATATATATATATATATATATATATATATATATATATATATATATATAATGATTTATATTTATATACATATAACTACTCTAAATATCATAACAACAATGTTAAATCTGCAAATTGCGGAAGCAAATTTTAGTTTTTTCCTCGCCGAAATACTTATAGATAATTACATTTAATGTTTTCTTTTTTTAATATTGGTGTTGTTTTGTTGTTTGGTCATTGGCTATCATATTCACGATATTGTTGATCAATTTATAAATACCATGCACGTGCAAAAAACTCAAACCAAGTTTTTTGAGTGAAACAGTATGAAACCGGAACTTTATACTTTTTCAAACAAATCTCACTTTTTTATTTCTAGCTTGTCCTTTTGTAAATAAGCCCAAATAAAAAGATGCTGTAGCTTTGTTGTTTTAAACGACTGTGTGATAGAAACTGAGAAGGAAGCAGGAATGAAAAGGCCAATGCAGTATACATGTAGTTCATGTCCAGTACGCAATTTAAAAAAAAAATGTTGTTTTTGCAACCGCCTGTCCTTTGAATAAGGATATTGATTTTCATTTTAAGATAAATAATTTGTACTAAGCTGGGTTTTTTTATGTGTGTTTTTATTTTGCTTATAACATTCCGTTCTATTTTTTCGCCAAACACGCCTTGGGCCTCTGTCAACTAGACCCTCTAACTTGACTTATGAATACAGATTGCCGCAACTCCGGCCGATCCTTGTAAATGATTTGACGGAATTCCCAAAACTTCATCTATAAGACTTATAAGACACAAAGCTGTGCACCTGCTACATTATGTTTTAACTAGGTTTATTTGGGGAGGGGTTTCACATGATAAAAACACAAGAATGGATTTTTCCATTTGTAACTATATTTTTTGGAGAGGGTAGACGACACAGGTCAGTGTCCCTTTGAAAACTCACCACTCAATTAACTACCTATTACGCAGGTGGTCATAGAAAAGAACAGATGTATTCCGAAAAGACTTCCGGTGTTCCGAAAGACTACGGAGGTCGTCCAATATATACTGCGTAAACCCTCAGGGGTTTACGCAAAAAAAAGAATAGAGAAAAATGGCTTAAGAAATTAAAGAATATAGAAACAAAGGACCCCAACCAGACTCTCATATAAGTTTTTATTCACTTTTGAAGTTTTTATAATCCTTTCCAAAGTAAAGAACTGGCAAAATAACAAATTCATCATATTGCCGGCGCCGACGAAATAGTCATTTCTATAGAAATATGCTATTTTGCCGGCTTTATTTAAGATATTTTAATCAGAGCCGGGAAAATAGCATATTTTCTATTTTGCCGGCGCCGACAAAATAGCTTCTATCTATTCTTTAATTTCTTAGCCCATTTTCGCTATTCTTTATTTTTTGGTCCATTATTCTCTATTCTTATTTTTTATTGTCTCTTTATTCTGCACGTTTTGTATGTTTTTTCTCTAATCCATAAACCCCATCAAGACCCTCATATGCGTTTAATAAAAATCTCACGCTTGTCTGCAGTCTTTTCGGATTTTTGTCACCTACTTTGACTCTAAGTTTATTATGTGACCATTTTCACTGGTTCCTTGTCAGAAACAAGTATGATTACCGTTAGCAGCATTAGAGGTTAGAACCAGTACAACTGCAAAGCATGGACGAGAGAAAAAGCAAAACATTATTTATTAGAAATTTACCATTTAGTACGAACAATGAAAGTTTAGAGAAAACGTTTAGTGATATTGGACCGCTCAAGCAATGTTTTGTTGTGAAAAACAAAGGTGATTATTATAAAGAATGCATATATATACACAAGTGTTTTAGCTACAGGGTTTTGAAGAGGATGGTACTAAACTATTTATCAATATAGACATATGGTCTGCGTAAGATTATTTTAGATATCTGTTGATGGTTTTGTTAAATATTATCAAACTTCTTGCCTCATTAATTCGAGTTGTCTTCTTTATATCTTACACAATTAAATAAATTTATGATGCATCAATAGTCATACCAGTTTAAATTTATCTCTATCTGTAAAATTAACATGATTAAATTATACGCTATTATGTCGATTTGGTCCATATTTAAAGTCAAATTGGCCCCAATTTAAAAAAAAATATTTATAAGGAATAAAAAAATAAAAACATCTACTTGAATTGTAGAATACATGTATAAATGTAAATGAATTGTATAATAATATAAATGGTGGATGATGAAAAATTGTGTTGCAGCATATTTTAATATATATAATTTTCATTAGATGAGACATAGGAATATTTTTAAAATATTTATATTAAGATTTCATATCAAAATATATTATCAGGCCTCACGCTAGCAGGCGGCTGGGGCGATAAAGTCGCTTTCCCGGCCGTCAAAAGCGATATCTTATCCCACTGTTGTTCACCATACTCTCTTTCAGTCGCTTTCGTCTTCTGCAATTTTTAATTTTTACCAAGTCGATGAAACAGCAATTTTTCATTTATATTAAAGTAAAGAAATTCAGACACAAACGATTATTTTCTTTAGAAAATTGGTTAAAGCATTGACTTTACAGTATGTTGCATGTTATATTATAAAAAAGAACTTTTTATCACTTCCAGTACTTGTTAGAAAATGAAGAGCGTACATCAAATCATTCTAACTTTCAGCAAAATAAGTTTGTTACTTCATTAGAATGTGTTGAAAGTTGCCTTCAGTAAATGTTTAATCCATTTATTGCATTAAAAACGTCATATTCCTTTCCAAATAGCTTGTCAAACATCGTTTATTTTTGTAAATTTTCTTTGTCCGCCATTGAAATATGTGTCCGAACTACGGATCGGAGGCGGGATTCATCTGAAACGGACCAGCTATGACCGAAATCCGTATTTTTACGATAATAACCACGGATGCATGAATGACACAGCTGACAGAAGATTATTGATCCAAAAGGAAAAATTATGCATTCCACATGCATTAACAAACTTTTAGTTAGATCTACTTGATTAATGGATATATTTCCATGTACATTTTGTATATGCATTGTTTGAATTTATTGATTAAAGCTGCTTAACTCTAGGACTATTACTCTAATATCAATAAATTATGGCCCAGCTAAACTTTGTTAAATTTATACATCTTTTTAATTAGAAACACTGAATTTCATAAACATGATAAACAGAACAGTTTTTTAATTGAATTGTAATTGATATATTATACTTTCTTTTCCTTTTTGATCACAAAAAATCTTTTTAGTGCTAGATATTTAGTTGGTATTTTCTCACATGAGGACTAATATAATTGTACAATTAAATATGATAAACTTTAACAACTTTGAATTTGAACTGTTACTTTAATTGTATACTCAGATATGGATTGAACAATATAAAAAGAAAATAAGATACATATGGCCCTTAATACTATAGTAACAAGAGTGCACACTCTGAAATGTCTCGCCTTCTTTACTAACCATTGCTTTTATGTTGATGGTCCTAAATACAAAGCTTTACTACAAGTAACACATAAACTTAACATGATCCAAGAAAACGAGGTCAAGGTAGGATAAACCAAACGAGAAATACATGTACACCTTACAATCATTCAATAAACCAAACATAGTTGACATATTGCTTATTGTTTCTAAGAAACAGTCTTAAACAAGAAAACTTAACATTGACCAATGAACCATGAAAATGAGGTCAAGGTCAGATGAACCATGCCAGACAGACATGTACACCTTACAATCAATTTAGGCATTAAATATAGTTGACCTACAAATGTATTGCTTATAGTATCTAAAAAACAAACTTAACCATGAAAACTTAACATTGACCAATGAACCATGAAAATGAGGTCAAGGTCAGATGATACCTGCCAGACAGACATATGCATATACACCTTACAATCCTTCCAGACATCAAATATAGTTGATCTATTGCTTATAGTTGAAGAAAAACAGACCAAAACACAAAAACTTAACACTGAAAAATGAACCGTGAAAATGAGGTCAAGGTCAAATAAAACCTGTGAGACTGACATGTACATCATAAAATATTTCAATACACCATTTATAGTTGACCTATTGCATATAGTATTAGAAAAAAAGACCAAAACTCAAAAACTTAACTTTGACCACTGAACCATGAAAATGAGGTCAAGGTCAGATGACACCTACCAGTTGGACATGTACACCTTACAATCATTCCATATACCAAATATAGTAGACCTACTGCTTATAGTATCTGATATATGGACTTGACCACAAAAACTCCAAAATCCATGAAATGAGGTCGAGGTCAAATGAAAACTGTCTGACAAGCATGAGGACGTACGCACATACTAAATATAGTTATCCTATTACTCATAATAAGAAAGAAATTAACATTACAAAAAATGTTGACTTTTTTCTCAAGTAGTCACTGAACCATGAAAATGAAGTCAAGGACAATGGACATAAGACAGACGGAAACTTCGTAACATAAGGCATCTATATACAAAGTATGAAGCATCCAGGTCTTCTAGCTTCTAAAATATAAAGCGTTTAAGAAGTTAGCTAACGCCGTCGCCGCCACCGCCTGATCACTATCTCTATGTCGAGTTTTCTGCGACAAAAGTCGCAGGCTCGACAAAAACCAGACATTGTAGCGCACGAGCAAATGAGCTCTTCTCTTTCAAATCTCACCACTTCTCCCTATCAGTTTCAAAAAGAGAAGTCACTTCTCCCTGTGATTCTGAAGTAGTGTGAGCCCTGTATTATTATTTTGATATAAAATATTTGAATTCAAATCTATTTATCACCTTAATAAGTACGGATGATTATGCAGTATAATAATTTTGATTATTTTTCTATTATATTTGATTGAATTAAGTGATTATGACCGGTACATGTTACTTTGTATCATGATCCTCCGATAATTGATAAATAAACAAACCAATTATACACATTGATTTCATTTGAACAAGTCATTACGATGATTACATAATTATATGTTCCATTGGACTGTAATCATCTCCTTACATGTATATATTAAATGTGTGAATTAAGTAAAAACTATATAACTCCAAGTTATCATAGAAAATAACTTCATATTTACATGCTGATGATCTGACCTCACAATCACTCCTTTTCATATCGATTTAAAATAAATCCTCTGAACGTTCCTCTAATATTAGGTATATTTCACTTATTATTTCATTAATCTGACATCAATACTTAAAATATTCCTCCGATCATTGGCGAAATTTAAAAAAAAATTATCATGTGCAATTTCCTTTTACCCTGTTACAAATATGTCGCTTAATTATCTGATTTTTTAAAATGATTATTAATTTTTTTTACTATGCAGTCAGGGATATAACTCTATAGGGTTATTACAGAAAATATCTTGCATGTGTTATTACAGATATTTTTATGAGTTGTCTACTCTTTAATCCTTAAATTTTCTAAATCTGTAACATATGTTTGTTATTTGTAAAATAAATCATCAACCTTTTAACTTTTAGTGGACACTAGGGAACTCTTGAAACTTTGTGCAGAAACTAAATGCATAGCCTTGATAACTAATTTTTGAATTAAATTAATACATTTATCATTAACCATGGTAAATCAATGAGACAAGGCTTTTAAGTGATAATCTTAACTGTAATAACAAGGCTTAGTTATTAAAGGCTTGTAACTTATTATATGAGGCACTTGAGAATTACTGGGAAGCTTGCGCAGAACCTCATTACATGCTCTGATCATTATTTCTTACAACGAATTAAAATATATTGTAATTAAACATGATGTATGTCTGAGCAAATGCTTTGGAGTGATAAAGAGAAGCTGTAATAACACCCTTTAGTTATTACAGGCATATTTTTTCTGTAATAACATAGGTGTACTATGCATTATTGGCAAAATATGAACTGCTATATCTTTCTATAGTTAAGTATACATAAAGACAACAGTAATATCAATAAAACTTGTATACATTTAAACAAAACTAATGATGTATATATTGTCCCTTTGAAACATGTAACATACATATGTTATCACAGGTCTTTGATTTTTTAGTCCACAACAACAAATGTATGTTATTTTTCTCTAATAACCCTATAGAGTTATATCCTTGACTGCTATGGGGCTGAATCGACTTAGGACGGATCAGATCGACTTGGGGCCGGAACGACCTGATACCAATTGTACCAGTTACCATCAGAAATTCACAGTTTTCCATCAGTATTGTCAATCCTGAACTCTTGTTTGGAAATATTGTTGTAACATATGAAGAGTTGCCAAAAATAAGTTAAACACCATGGATTCAGTCATGTATAACATGTTACTTTTATTATTTAATTCTTCCCTTAGTTTATTTATTTTGTATTTACATTGTGTCATAGGTCAAATTTATTTGTTCAGTGTATGTTCAATGGTGTTAATATGTCCTTTGATTGAGTTAAGCTATTTCAGTTGATATTTTATAGTGTGTCTTTCTATGTTGTGATGTTACACTATTGTTTCAGAAAAAGGGTGAACGTTTTGTACCATTAAAACATTTGTTTGCACCTGTCCTAAGTCAGGAATCTGATGTTCAGTAGTTGTCGTTTGTTGATGTGGTTCATAAGTGTTTCTCGTTTTTTATATAGATTAGACCGTTGGTTTTCCCGTTTGAATGGTTTTACACTAGTAATTTTTTGGGGCCCTTTATAGCTTACTGTTCGGTGTGGGCAATGGTTTACTTTTATAAATTTTGATTTGGATGGAGAGTTGTCTCATTGGCACTCATACCACATCTTCTTATATCTATGTAACTTTTCTTAT